CACAATCCGAGCCGAGACGCCGACGCCCACTTCTAAAGCCTGTGTCTGCGTGGTGGTCCAGACGGAGAACAAAACCCGACGTTGTACGGGTCCTCGATAGCTGTTGGGGCCGAGTACGACCGTGACACCGGGCAAAGTGGCACTTCTCGGATGCGGCTGCCAAAAATCGAGCGGTTCGATCGAACAGCCCAGTCCTGAGGGAGTAACAAGGAGACTACAATGGCCTGCCCTTAGTCCGGTCTCCCGAGCGGTGTCTCTACCTCGGGACGTGACACAGCAGACCCCGATGCCATCACCGTCGACGTCTTGGCCACAGGGTCGAAGCACAGTCCCGACCCTGAGCACCGTCGCTCCTGCCACGCTCGCCCGGGGTGCGATATGTCGACCCGGGCCGACCCTGGATGGTACCAAGAGCGGGCGTCTTCTACGAAGGACCCTCAACCCTGATATGCCTCTGCTTCCTCCTACCGGAGACCTAAGGAGGATAGGCTGAGCCTACTCGTCCTTCTGTTGCAAAGTACAGTAAGCCCGAGTCCGCCGTTGAGGTCCCCGCTACCGACGAGAGGGGCCCGCTATCGTGTGGTCGATGTGGGCTGAAAAGATCATGCCGCACATAGTGTACCCTACAGGAAAGTGCCTTCCACAGTGGGCTGCCCTGCGTACCAGACTGCCGACCCCATAAATGCTTCAGCGGGCCACTCCCAGAGACCCTCGTCTCTGGAGGTCGCCCCGCGTGTATTGTAATGGACCTCGAAAATCGCCACAAGGAGTGAGATTTGCCGAAAGCGGAAAAGAGTCTCCTGTGGTACAGGAGCACTCCTGCCTGTTATGCTTGGTTTATAGTATATATTTGGGGCTGTTCCCCCAAACGCAAGAGAGGTCAATGTGTACGACCGTGCGTTTGACTAGAACACCTCGACGCCGGCAGAGAGAAGACTCTCGCTGCGCGCATGGCCCACACTACTTGAGCCCCGTCTGGACGACAGGTCTCCACGGTGGTGATATACGTCTGAACCTGAGATGGTAAGGTTACCAACACTCGGTCGACCCCTACGCAATACCGGCCCGGCGCCAATATCTAGACAAGCGTAGTTTTCTTTTACCATTGACAGTCAAAAAGAAAAGTTACGCGCTAGTTTTGCTGGTAATCCGCCACCTGCGCGAGCGCTGTAAACCCGGAGGCAGGAGGACATGCGCAAGGGTGGGGCCGAGACCTAATGGGGGTTGAGACCGGTCTACACTCTCTTGTCGCGGTGTGTTACTAGGACTATCGAGGCGTGACCCGGAACGTTACATGACCGACCGCCTCTAGATAGTCGACGACAAACGCCAGTTCGGCACCGTCAGGGGCATGCGTCCCTGTATGACAGAGTCCGCTCCCCCCCCTGCTAGAAAGTGGGTGTTGGGCCTGCGTACCGGGATACCGACCCGGGCACTCACCACCATGATTAGACCTTACGTCACCCAGCAGGGCGTCTTCCACTATTTTGTGATAAGTCTCACGTTCTCGAAGTGAGGTGATCCAGAGAAATACTGAATTCCCTCCCACAAACTCCTCACCACGAAGTTTTTCCCTTGTGGAGAAAAGTTACGGGCACCCTCACCTAAAATAGTAAAGATGTCCCTGATTAACTACTTTGTTTCTCGCAAAGAGGTGCTAGTTTCACATGGACTGGACGATAACGACCGTACGGTACACTGAAACTCCCTTTCTGCCGCTCGTTGTAGGAAACCAGACGGCAAAATACTCCCTCGAGCGTCCGAGGAGGAACAAAGGTCCAGTGACCACGGGAATACCCTGAACTGTCACCAAAATCTAACCCGAGTGAGCTTGGGGTAACTTGGGGACCTCTTCGACTGTACTTTCGTGGCAGTGAGTTCTGTCACGACAATGACCGGGACCCCGTAGGCGGTTCGCTCAGTCACTGTAAGTACGCGATAGACATGTAGGAAGTACGTGAGTCAAGCGGGGTCCCGATTGCTCTCACAACGACTTCGGGTTGGCACGAAATATGGATTCCACCCAACCAAGTACCAATAAAAAAAAAAAAAAAAAAAATGGGGGTAACTGTAACTCCCGTAAAGAAGGCGGCGACACAGGGAGGCCCCTTGTCGTCGGCTAAACGATACAGGTCAGGCACGAAATGCTGAATATACTGTCTAGTTTTCTCAAAGCAGCAAATTACTGGTTGAGAAACACAGGACCCGATTGGGAGTCTTCCCGTTCGGACAATGATTCGTGGCCGAGAGAGTGACCTAAACACCTCGGTAACGCCGTGGACACATTACACAGACGTCCATGGCCACCACGTCTAAAAAACCACCAACCGATGTAGGACCCGAAACAAGATTCCACAGAGGTAGGTTCTGTAAACAACGTCGCCACCTCCGACCAGGAGCGGAGAGTGAAAACAGGCGAAGAATGTCCGATCTGCAGAGACGAGGGTCGCACCGTGGCTCGTCACCGACCCGTGGGAAAACTAGTCTCGAGATGGACCAGTAGCTCCTCTGGTGTGAGGGAGAAACGTGTCCATCTTGTTCGCCATTATGGCGACGTGGGAAGGACGCGCTCGTAGCAGGTGCGTTGTCGAGAAAAAAAATCCTCTCCAACCTGTCGTTAATCCGGAGAAAAGACGACGGTGTAGGATTTATTCCCGAAGAATATTAACTGGTGTGTTAATATTCTTTCTTAGTCCTATTCTTCTCTGGTGTGAGAAGAAAGAAAAAAGCGTCCTCACTATCGTGGTGTCGGTAGCGAGGAAGGTAAGCTAGCAACATTGTGCTGCTAGCTTGAATCAAAACCTTACCTTTTCGATTTCCGGAGAAAAAACAAAAAAGGTGAGGTCGAGTGTGGTACTAACTGGTATGTTAGCACTGAGAGTCTTCTTGCAGAAGTATATATAAAAGTAGCCGGCGAGCGCCCGGCGACCGAAATTAGCTTGGTTCCGTCTGTGGACTGTGTGAGCTAGCCCGGCTACCGATATAGAGATGTGCTCTGAAGCGAGAAGAGGTGTTTGAATGACGCATGTGGCGTAGCGCAAGCTACTTATAGGGTGGGTGGATTCCCTGACGCTGACGTCAAGATCACCTGCCAATCGGGATTGGCGTAATGAGATTGATGCTTCTGTTTGCTCCGCGGATGAGGCGCATCCCATACTGAGACATCGAACAGAGTGTTATGAATGAGAACAGTAACATTGTGGGACAGACAGAAAAATAATGAGCTGAGATCTGTTAGTAATCTTCTTAAATGTTAAGATGCAGATTCAGGTGATTTAATTGAAGCGTTGTTGTAAAAATGTCCCGTGTAACCACTTTAAGAACAGAAAATAAGAGGGAAATATCAATAGAAGACAAAGATGTGTTAGTTATAGAGAAGGAGATCCATCAGGGATGAAGAGGTGAGAGGAGTTTTATGGCTTCAGTTAAGATATCTATCAGGTAATGTAACTAAAGTCGCTGACCGCTGCAAGGTCTCCTTCCCTGTTCAGTGGTCCAGTGACCAATCACACCTCAGCTGGACACAACGGTAATAAGAAACCAGTTGGGTAAAATACGGCTCTTTAAAGGTTCACCGTTCTGCTCCCTGAAGGTGACCAAGAGGACGGCAGAACGCGAGCTGCATGGAGCATTTGGTCATAAATTCATCTCTCAGTGTTTTAGGAGCAGCAGAAAGGAGGAGAGTTTACAGACAGGATCTCTAAAATCATTTTAAACATGTTGGAAGATAACACTAGACAAAATAACACATGTCAGTTGAGCACGTTTAACCTGCACCACACCTCACCTTCATCAAAAGGACGGGTCTTTTGGATTATTTTTGATTAGAGCACAATGTCACATTACATTAAAATCAAAAGAGACAAAGTTTCCCACTAAGACTAGACTATGGTTAAATATTCATTTGTGGAACAATACAGGTGATATATGTCTTTATTTTTTATTTTCTCACTGTCTACCATATTGTATTACCCCATGACTGCATCTTTAGCTTAGTTTTGACCACAAACCACACATTTGGTCTGTTTATGACAATTATTTCAAGGTAACTTAAACCACTAACAAGCATTTATCCTGAAGAAAACAGATCCATTAAAAAAGAAATGGCACAGGCGTTTCGTAGCTATTTGGCGATTTTGTAGGTTTTTCTTAGTTTTTTTATCATTTTAATATATATTTTAATTGTTATTTAGTTTTGCTGTGCACTAGTTTATCCTTTAGACTGTATCAAAGGTGCTTAACAAATACATTTTAAGCTATTGTAGTCCACTTCCACAGAAGGCAGAGATTTAAAGTTGTTCATTCTTGTAATCTCTGGCTGCAGTATTTACAGTTGTCACTCCTCTGAGTGTTTACAGTTTAAACAACATCAAACCCTCCATCTGCCGCTTTGTGACATCAGGGGAGAGAAGGCCTGTGAGATGCAGGAAGCAAAAGAAGAGCTCTCAGATGTCGGGGCATTAATGTCAGTGTGGTTGGTTCTTCTTTAATGAGCAGCCTCGCTCTGCCAGCCGACGCTCGTGTTTCAGCGCTGAGCCTCGGACACAGGATGGGAAGAAGACACCTGTGTGAGAGGGACATTATGCCACATGTGCCTCATAAGAGACACCGTAGACCGGGGCTGGCGTGGCAACAATCTCACCATTAAAGTTTAAAGCACAGACCTGGGAGCTATGCCGGAGAGGCAGACAGAGACAGCTGGTAGTAAATGTCTTCCCCTCTCACATTTACAGCCACAGCTCACAATGCAAGAACTGAGCAACAGCAAGAAGGAGTGAGAGCCTGCAGAACATATTCCTAAACATAAGTAGATTCAGTACACTGCAGCGTAACGTAAGACAAGGACACCCTGCACGCCACATGAAAAATTCACAACTCACGCTGATATACCAGTCATGGCGATGGGTTTACACCTCTATCATGCCAAGACGATCTTTTTCTTTCTCTGTGTTGTTATAAGCATGAAAAGTGTCTCTAAAATGGTTCAAAAATATCTGTAAGGAAATTATTGAGAAGAAGGTTCAGATTACTTTCATTTTGTTTTGCTTTAATACATTGAGCAGTGCCCAGGAGTGACGTGCTCAATAATTGTTTCTGATGTTCAAGGTTTCATCAGTCTTTAGTATAAACTGATACAACAATATATAGGATCTAATGTTTAATATTTCTAGACTTCATATATTCCAATTGCCCAGCTTAGTCCCCCTTACTGATGCTACATTTCCATTCTCCTCTCCAATAATAACAGCAACAGATTGACATAGTTGCTTATTATTAAATCCTTTCTTAAACATTAGCCCTTGATTATAAACGTAGGTAGACAAAGGCCACTACACATTTTTAGAAAGTGATGAAAGCTGTTGCTAGATGGATTTACTCAATGTAGCTAGTTATTTAGGGAGGCGTGTGGTGAAGTGGGAAGAGCGTTGGCGTTGATCAGGGGGTCACATGTTCAAACCCCACTGCAGTCAGCATGTCGTTGTGTCTGGGCAAGACACTTCACCCCAAATTGCTCCTGTGGGGATTGTCCACAGTATTGAGTATGTAAGTCGCTTTGGATAAAAGCGTCTAACAAGTGACATGGAATTTAATTCAGATAACACTGGCTAAAATATAGAATGTGGCTGTCTTGTTAATTTTTCAAACAAGAATCTAGGCTGAAGTTAAAACTATTATAAGATTGATGAGGTAAAAGGTTCTTATTTCATCTTCGCTTACAAGCGCAGACACAGAAGATTTAAGATGAATGCCTAATGCTTTGTATTCTGTGTATTCAAGTTTTTATGGAAAGCACTAATCCAAAGAAATTGTGTTTGGTGAACTATCCTAGGTTAAACGTTTGGTTAGAGTTACTAGTCCTGCTGTTAGTGTAGTCTAAAGTGTAAACTATCAAAACTATTGGAGCAGAATAGAGCCGCTAATGTTATCTTTCACTTGGAATACTTTAAGGTCAACGAAATAGTGAAGAATCAATCCCCATCCTCAAAGTCATGTTCATGTTGAAACAAAATTTAGTAAGATATACTGGGGGGGGGAAATGGAAAAAATAAGCTACAACCGTTGTGAGGGGGGTTATGAGTTAATCCGGTTGAATAGACCTCTTTTTAGGACAGTGGGGACTTGTAATGACTCATTGATAGACATCTTCCTGAGTCTCGTGTTAGCTTTGTTGCACCTTTTATGGCGGGACTAAGTAAACCTTACACATTCTCATTAGAAGATTCATTTACCTGATATATTTCCATCAAAGCTCCTCTTAAAGTATTCTATAAAATCCTAGTAAAAACTACATTATTTCCTGGAACTTTAACTGAATCTTTGGTTTCTTTTTCCCTCCCTTATTTCTTAACAAACATTTAAAGTAATGTGTAGTATATGATGAATGCTAATTGTTATTGTAAAATGAAAAATGTATTATTCCTACAGAGGGTCAAATGAGACATGCATCATCAATAAACTCCCATATTGCACTGTAGTCTCAACTAATTTCATCAACTTGGAAACGTTTTAACATAATAAGATGTGTACCACGTAATAATTCAGAGTTGGTAAACAAGGACTGGCAATCTGCTAACGTTTCTGTGTCACTGGTGTCCACTTCAGCCCTTGATGCTGGGTTTCATGTCCTGCGAATGTGATACTGACTATACTTTAATGACAGAGGAACAGTTCCAGATACTGGTTGCCGCTGGCTTTTAAGACGCATTTTCATTTGTCGACCTCTTGACTATTGCCAGTTGGAAGTCTGTTTATGCAGATTTTGTTTGTTTTTTTAATTCGGTTTTAGTTATTTAGGTAGAGTCTGAACTCTCAAACTGTGTTCTGGTTTTGTTTGTTTAGCACAAGTTGGAAAATGTAAGATTTTGAAAGAGTCAATCACCTTTTGTCGTTGTTTAACCGTTACAGTGTGTGTCTGTACTCTGTGTCCCTGAAATAAAGCAGCCCTGTCAGGACCGACCAATACTAATACAATTTTCCCTCTTGTCATAGAAGCCCAGAGCCAATCACATCCACTTCCCCCGTCCACAAATCCAGTCACATCCTCTGACCCGGGCACAAGGAGCAAGAACACATTACTGCCGCCATCGAGTAATCGCATTTGCTTCTTGCTCATAATAGAGCAATTTCCCGTAAAACAATTTAGTGAATTCACAAAGTCTGTAACATTATCCATAATTTATTGTGTATATATGTCCTGTCTTCCAGGAACAACGCCTAATTTTTAGAAGATGAATATCATGAAACAAATAATCATAACAAATGTTAACCTCTTCTGTCATCCATGCTTTTCTTTCAAAGCTGCCAGCTGTCTTTAAAGGAAATAGAAATGTTCCAAGAGTTGCTAATACATTTATTACTAACCGTGTATGGAACAATTAGGCCTTTTCTGAAGTCTGAAATACACATTGCATGAAGTTAACGGTTCTAAGACCATAATTGTGTCAAATAGATGCAATGACTGTTATCCTAATTATAATTTTTAATTTGTTGCAAAAGCGACATTACAGGCAGAGGAACAGACTCACCATAGGTCGGCGGTTTTCAACCAGGTGAATGCCAACAATGCCCAAAAACGCTCCAAAACTCAGCTGGAAACACAAAGAGAGAGGAACATCTACATGATTAAAACAAGACTACGCAGCCCCTAACATAAAGCAACAATCTTAAAATGACATTATCTGTTCATTTAGAAATATCACATTTGAGACATGAATGGCATTTAGTTTGTGTGTGTGTGTGTGTGTGTGTGTGTGTGTGTGTGTGTGTGTGTGTGTGTGTGTGTGTGTGTGTGTGTGTGTGTGTGTGTGTTTAGGTTGATGACACCCATTCATTTTTGTTGTTATGATTGTAATGTTTTGTTATTGTTTTTATAAGGAAGGGTCTAGGAAAGTAAGGTAGGGGGAGGGGGAGCAAGGTCTGTTCTTGTCATTTGGAAAAACAATAAACAATGTTTACAGAAAGGACAGCACATCGTCTCCAAATCATGCTGTTTGTATGAGGTTTTCAGACATAAATGCATTGTCAGTGTCAGGATGAATTAGAGATTGTGAAGTTGAAGAGACTCACCGTGATGCCGGAGTAATATCCAGCCACAGGCACGTTGTCGGTGCGTGTGGCTGAGACCAGACCCACTGTCAGCACCACCAGAGCCAGAGCCAGCAGAGACACCGTCACCCAGAGCGCCGTCCTCCTCCGACGCATGTAGTGGACTGGGGATGGACCACAGGAGGACATCTTTACTCTTATTAGATACAGATGAGCTCTCTAAATGACATGCCTTTCTCAACCTAATTCTGATCATAACATGCAAACCTCCTTTTGCCCAAGACAACATGCACATATTGAAATGATTTCCCTATACTCTTCTGTTAGTGATCTTTTTCAGATCTTTGTTCAAAATCTTATTTAAGTCATTTTCTTAAAATAATATACTCATAGGGTCAGAAGTAAAAGTACTCATAGCTGGCTGTGCTGAAGCAGTTTTATATACTATTGTGTGGTCTGAATCACATCATATTTAATGTTGTTATTGTTGTTTTTTATAATTAAGGTTTTTTTTTTCGTAGTTTTTTTTAAGCACCCAACAATAATCTATGATATGTGCAGGAACTATGTGGCAATCAGTGGTAGAAATACTTAACAAAAAACTTATTCCATTTTCTCCATCTGTACTCTATTAAAGGTAAAAGTCCTGAATTCAAAAAGGTACAAAAGTAGGCCATTAAGTATATACTTAAACTATTAAAGGTAAAAGTAAAGATTATGCAGAATGGTTCCTTTCAGAGTTTATTATTGTTATATAATGTGAAATATAACATGTCAGAGCATCATCATGTTGTATTCTGTCAACATGGAAACAATTTGAGATACTATGTTTACTACAGAAAAGCATTAATACTGCACCATTTACTATATTAAAAATAGATTGTAAAAAGAAAGAAGCAACAATGATTGTCAAATAAATGAACACAACTCATGAGCCAATTAAATGTATTCAAGGCCTGTTTCATTGTTTTCTAGACATATAACAAACATACGCATTGTATAACAGAACATAAATAGTGTTGACACGAGATGAAACTGTAACTGAGGTTCAGGTTAGAAGATTAAACCCCACATGTTTGTACCTGCTGGATCCAGTATTGCTGTTGTCTGCTGAGCTGTCTGCTGGGGTTCAGGTTGCTGCATTTTGACTTAATCCTGATGAAGTGTCCGGAAAAATGAATAAAAAGCAGAAGAGACAGCTGAAGAGACCCTCTTGAGTGTTTTTCTCAAGGTGGGGTCTTTGTTGAATCAAAACAGATTACTCACCCTGCACAAAAAAGTATATGTTTCTTAGAATTTAAACATCTGTATGATAAACAGGTACAACTTCATATAAATGTTTACAGCTGACTCTGAGCGCAGGCGAGTTCAACTTTTCCTGATGCATGAGAGAGAGACAGAGAGAGGGGGGGGAGCAAGAGGGAGAGAGAGAGGGACCAATCAGCTTCCTGTATTCACCTTATTGATACATTATTAAATTATCTGTCTGACATAAGTATAATGCAGCTTTAATACAGGATCCAGTGAATGTGGCTGTACTATACTATTCATACTGTATATTATAACAATAAAAAGAGTGGTTAGAGTGAGTTTCTGGTGTGTTTAATGTCTACAGGCTGCAGGTGACTGGTCATGATGCTGCAGGGTCGATGGTATTTGAGTGTACAGCGCCCTCCATTGGTAAAAACTGGAAGATACAAACCTTGTAAACACTAATCCTTTAATTCAGTGTATTTTATATAAATAACAAATATCCACTCTACCTCTACAAAACTGGTATCTTTAATGGCTTGAATCAAGTTGGATAAATAAGAATGCTTGCATCTGTTGAACGACACAACTAACTTGACTATAAGCTATAAAACAAGTTTCAATGTTTCACTGAGAATCTGAACAACCTGTCAGTATTTACCTTTCCTCCTCGGGCTATGAATGGTCCTCTAGCAGCCATGAACTCATACAGATTGACCCTCAAAGTGGAGTGATCTACAGAGTATTCTGAGCAGAAATCATACTCTCCTCTCAGCAGCTCAGAAGCCATGACACATGCAGGTGAGATGAAGTGGTCTCAGACCCTCAGTTTCAGTACTTTCTGGACAAAAAAAAGATGTCAATTTTTAATGTAAACAGCTAAATAGATCTAAAATGAATCTAAACTAATAATGACTTCTTAAAACTACTGATCTTTTCAAATGAAAATGCTGGGATAAAAACATTACGGCTATATTCTAATTATGTGGATCTTACGTCATGAACAGTACAGCTGCTACGGCTTAAATCTACACTATAAGTAAAAGCTATTTAGGGAACATAATATATTCTAGTGGTTTCTGCAATTTGCTTATATATTTTTTCATAGCAACTCTAACTAAATACTACAACATGTATTGGTATTCAATTACGTATCTGTAACTAGTCACTCCAAAATACTCAAGTTGATGCACCTGAAACCACAGCATTATGGTACTGTGTTCCATACACCAATAGCCAATCAATATAGAAAAAAAAAGAAAAACCCAATATGGAGTGTCTTTTTACAAAATAACTAGATATGTATATGTTTATACTATAAATTAATGCTGATGTATTTTATGTATATGTGCTATATTAAAACATTGAGCTCTTTTGTGTAAAATGGCTGCATAGTTCCAGTCAGTTACCGTACAGTGAGGGTTAATGTTATATATTAATTACAGAATAAATGAGGTGTGTGTGTCTCATCACAGGTCTGTGAGAGCAACTATGACCAGTATGCTGGGTTTTGCGTGGTCTGTACCTGGAGTCCCAACGTAACTCTTGATTTTAAACTGATAATTGCCCAAGCTCCACAGCCAGTCCAAGGTCAGAGAAACGAATGTTACCTGTGAGAACAAACACACACGAGAGAGCTGTGCACGTCACAGATACCAATGTTGACCTGAGGCACTACGTCTCTGAGTCGTAAACCTGTGGAGCCGTGATAACTGAGAGACGTCCTTGTGTTAAGAGCAAAGACTGTGCACTGCATGTGTGAAGGGTGTGGGGTAAAGTCGGTTCATGTGTGTGTTTTGACCTCAGAAGGCCAAGAATGGGACATCGTTTTAAAGAAAATGGTAGGGTCTTTAATTTGCCAGTCCTCTAATGTACATTGGCAGAAATAGCGCCAAACTGGCTGCATTTAAAACATGGTAACCTTGGGGAGTTTTGGATTTGATGCGGTGCAGGTTGGCCACCTTTATTTCTAGATATTTCTTGCCATAATTCCCTTTTCCCTAGAAACGAAAAGCCCAAAAGATTCCTCTCCCACGGGTTGTGTCTTAATTCACTTCCGCTGCAAAAACCTTTTCAGACACACACCCATCCAGTAAGAAAAAAGTGTCATGCATCTACTTAAAAAAGTCCATCACATTGTTCATGGTCTCACTGAGAGTATCCTCCCCGGCCATGGTCTTTCTCTTTAACCCTCCACTAGAATAATTATTTTCATGTGTAACATTGTGACACAATACACATTTCTAACTCAAATCAAATATTTTGTTTTTCGGCAGTTTGTTGAAGATGTTACCCTCGCCTCTGGGAATTTTTTTGTTGAGAAACGTTAAATAGATTATCTGTGAAACACAGCAGCTCTTCCTGTCTCCTTTTGTACTTTGTACAGAATCAGACAGGCGCAGGTTTTTGTTCATGTGTGTCAATCATTTGAAATATTAGCAGATCAAATGCAAGCGTCACCTTGGTGTTTTGTCTTTATTACCAGCTGTCTGGGTGTTCAAGGTGATCCTCGGGTTCCTCTGAGGAGTGAAGGACGTCGTGCTGAAGGAGGAACTTCACCTGTTTCTTCGTTGGCCCGCCTCAGCCTCCCTACAGGAAGCAGGCCCACCTTTTCATCGGCCTTATAAATAGTGAATAAGAGATAACTCATTCATCACACTCTGGAGCAGCGACCAGGGAGTGAGTTTTAGCTGAAACTACTGTAAAAGAGAAAGAGACAAGGGACAATACAAGACATTAGCACAAAGGTGCCTTAAAATCTTTGGGGAGGGACAGGTAGGAGAGAGGAGAAACACATAGTACTGTAAGTGAGAGGAGAAAAAAGTGTGAAGGAAAGGAGAGGTCTGCTGTGGATCCTGGTCAGCACAGAGTTTCATCATGGCCGCCTTGAAGGAGAAGAGGACTTGTGGGCAACGATGTGAAGACTTTGGCCATTTTGTCTGGGACTCAGATGAGGGGAAGTTCATGGGCAGAACACCAGAGAAATGGGGTAATTATAACATTGTTATCCTTTTTTGTGCAACATTAAATAAACCTTAAAAATAAACCGTAAGTGGCTGAAACACCATTAATATAACAGCACAATGGCTCAGTATTACACACAAGGCAGGGCAGTATCATTTATAACGCTGTAGTTTCACCACTGGCAATAAGTGTCATTCACTCATTAACAGTCTACTTGTCTCTTTGCCATATTTTTTATCATTTTTAATAGCTGGTGACCTCCAAACATTTAGGCAATCATCTTTTTCAACAACAATGACTGAAAAAGACTTTACTAGTTATCACTTTAAAAACAAGAAGGTCATTCAAGTTGAAGACAATGTCAAAATTAATCAAATATTGTTAACTGCTATAATTAGTTATTTATGTCATATGTATCACAGTTACAGCGGCAATGATGTTTTTACATTTCAAGCTCAGCTGAAATGTTGTAATACAATATCATATTTAAAAAATATGATATAATAATACTGTGTAAATATATATGCTATGGTCCATCTTGGAAAACTGCAAATATAGTTTAGCGTAAGATAATAAGGCTTATGTTTAACAGTCTTATTAGGCAATTAAAGCAGTTTTTTACCAAAGTTATTTATCTTTGTAGTACAAAATTAACTTTTCATATTAGGAAGGGCCTTCATGGCCAGTATGGAAAGGAAGGATTACTGAAATCCATTTCTATGTGCATATAGTATGGGCAGTGGAGGAGCACATAGCAATATTACATCTTTTTGAAAGCAAAAGTAAAAGAATCTTGAGTCCATGAAGATATTGAGTTTATGTGTTTTGGGTTCCACAGTTAAAGAGCGACACACATCATACTTTTGTGTACAGTTCAGTTTGACATTTTCTGTCCTTCCAATATCACCACAGTGAGGTGTATGTTTGCAGCATGTGGGCACAGTGAGATAAGCCGCTGTGGTGATAAGCTTTATTTCTTTCTTTTGTCAGAGTCCTTCCCCCCTGTGTTTGATTTCACAATCAGATGAAACATGCTCATAATATACTGTAGACAGAGGACACCTTGACTTCTGCCAATTGAGCCTGATCTTTGTCACAAGTGTTATCACATTTAACTAGTGTATACTCTCAATACAAGGATTTGTTTCACCTTTGTACATTTGTACACACTGAATAACAATCAGAAAAGGCCTATGAAATTGGAGATTTTACAAAATATTAAGGGTTATGGACAAAAAGAGACGCAATGCTGCCATGAACATATAACTCTCATCATGCCTCGTAGACACAGCACGTTGCATATGTTGTACATATTTATATTGTTGTGTTTCTTGACTCTGCAGTACTTGCTATTGTCATTTATTTCTCTAACTATATTTGTTGATATGCACCAAAACAATGGGTCAAATTCTCTTTTAACCACAATTTCGAAATCCCTCTGTCCTCCACAGTGTACATCAGTCTCTATTATGTGTCCTTCTACGCTGTGATGACCAGCCTTTTCAGCCTCGCCATCTGGACGCTCATGTACACCTTGGATCCGTACACGCCGGACTACCAAGACCGACTAGCATCTCCGGGTAACACATAATCAATAAGAGTTAGACAACGACTTAAATTAAACTTTAAATAACGAGCTCTCTGTTTGTTTCTCTGTTCAGGGGTGATGGTGTGGCCGGACACTTATGGAGAGGAAGTTATTGAAATCACCTACAACACGTCAGACAAAGCCAGCTGGATGAAGATGACCAAAATCCTCAATGAGTTCCTGGAGCGTTAGTATTAACTCTGTTGAAGCTTTACAGATACTAAAATATTTATTACACAAACAAGACATCTTAATCTTTCTCGCTGTCTTTCTCTTTCAGCCTACAATGACACCAAGCAGCTTGAGTGTAACAACTATAACTGCACAAAGGGAAAGTACTTCCTCCAGAAACACTTCCTCGGACCTGACCACACCAAGTACTCATGTCCCTTCCTGCAAAGCATGCTGGGACCCTGCTCAGGATTTGAGGACTCAACCTTTGGCTACAACTGCTCCATGCCTTGTGTCATCATTAAGATGAACAGAGTAAGTTTAATGCATTCAACCTTTTCTGAGCCTTTTTGGGAAAACCTGAATCTCGCAGTATATTAAAAACAAGCTTGTTTAATGAAAATGACTAAAGGTACAAATGTTTGTCTCCGCAGATCATCAACTATTTGCCTACTAATCGCACAGACGTTGCCCCTTATGTAAACTGCACTGTACTGGTGAGCAACAACTCCATATACTGATTTTGACAGCATGCATTAAAGAATTAAAGAAGAAGAGTCATAAGTTTTACATTTCATTTTCAGGGGTACTCCAGTGATTAAGGCCCAATCCCAAACCGCCCCCTACACCCTACCCCTACACACCGCGCAAACCCCTCCGTTTGCGCGTTTGCACGGAGGGTCCGCACATTAAGTGCTGTTCCAAACCAACGAGTGTGGAGCGGTGTGGAGGGGGAGTGGGCTATCAAGCCATCAAACAGCGAGTCTGCATCGGTGCAGACTGGAGACTGGTCCCTACCTGACCGGTCTCAGCGCTGTGTGTGTCCGGCCCAATCCCAAACCACGCCCTACACCCTACCCCTACACAGTCACTACCCCTCGGTGACGGAGTGAACTCTGTGGTGTGACACTCGCAGGTCAATGAGGCTCCCTCCTGTCAGATGGAGGGAGTAAGGCCCAATCCCAAACCGCCCCCTACACCCTACCCCTACACACTACCCTCGTTTGCTTGTTCGCGCAGAGGGTCCGCCACATTAAGTGCTGTTCCAAACCAAAGAGTCTGCATCGGTGCTGACTGGAGACCGGTCTCATTTCATTTCATTTCATTTTAAACCTTTATTTATGCAGGTGAATCCCATTGAGATCATTGATCTCTTTTTCAAGGATGACCTGCTGTCTCTACCTAATCGGACTCAACGCTGTGTGTGTCAGGAAACACGCTGTTTACAAGTAGTTCCAGCAAACATCCACTGATACATTGCGATGTTAACAACCTCATGATAACCTCACATTGTTTTTACTTAGGATCATACCTGTGTGTGTTTAGTCTAGAAAAAGATTTATTTGTGCATTTTATTATAAAGTTGTGTATATTTACAGATTATTGCAAAAACTAAGAAGCTTATAAACATCAGGTTTAAAACTAAAAGAGCTTTACAAAACAGTAACACAATTAAAGATGTTTGGAGTTTTATTTGAGTTATTAATTTAAATGTTTTGTCTAAGAGAGGCTGATTTGAAACCGTTGTTACATACAGTTACAGCATTTCCTGTTTCTGCCGGAGAGAGTGGAGTTTGTATTTACTCTCTCCATCTGACAGGAGGGAGCCTCGTTGAGCTGCAAGTGTCACTCCACGGAGTTCACTCCTTCACGGAGGGGGAGTGTGTAGGGGTAGGATAGGGCGTGGTTTGGGATTGGGCCTTAGTATTGCACTTCCATCAAGTTGGAGGGCTTCCTGAAAGACAAATTAAAGATCATAATCAATGTAGCAGAGACACAGATATGCTGACTTTTATGTCCAAGTGTGAGCCAAGTCTTAAAAACACTTGATCCTACATTTCCCATCATGCATTTCTGTTCATATAAACCTTCAAGTTTGGTTTTCTTTTGTTCAAACTCAACAACCCCAGTTTGTAACAGACCTGTTATATTTTAGTCTCGGTGCTAAGGGTTATTTTCTCATATGTATAGGTCGTGTGTGCCGTGTGGTCGTCAACAGTGTGCCCAGGCTGAGTAGTAGTCCTCTGGTGATGCCCCATTAATTATGACTAAATCTGTATCTGTGTCTGTGTGTTTAGGAAGGGGAAGGAAATGTGGCCAAAATTGAGTATTTCCCTGAAAATGGAAATATGGATCCCTCTTACTTCCCTTACTACGGGAGGCTGGCACAGGTAAATCCGCATCTGAATATTGAAATAACATTTGTTTTCTCTCTGTAAAGATTCTAGGCAACAGTTTCACACTCATGTGTCAAAAGTAAATGTTTCAACTGTTGTAGAGGGGCAACAATGGAGAAAAAAACACTAAATTAGTACGCTATTTGCAGAGTTAGCTTAGCTTAGCACAAAAACTGGAAACAGGGGAAATGGATAGCCTGAAACGACTTCCCAAAATAACACAAACTGTTGTCATAACACTTCTTGTACAGAATAAATTAACAATCTGGCATTACAATTTGTTATTTAAAGATTATTTTAGGGAATTTTGTTGTTTCCCTTTTTCCTTTCTTTATGCTAACTAGATTATAGCAGTAGCTGGTTGTTTTGATTATCTCATCTGTAAATGTCATCTGTAAATGTCCTTAAAAAATTGAAAAAAAAAAACTAAACTCAAGCACTTGAGCATGAATGGTAAGCATTGTCTCTTTCTCCTTTCCTTCAGCCTTCTTACGTCAACCCGTTGGTGGCTGTTCGGTTCAGCCTGGTCGGAGCGAAGCACGCTAAGATCCAGTGTAGAGTGGTCTCAGAAAAGATCAGCTACGAAAACTACCACGACCCCTACGAGGGAAAAGTCATCTTCCACCTCAAAGCATTAAAATGAGAAACAGTAGAGAAGATACAGAGAAATCAGTAACAACAACTAACCTTTCAGTATCAGAGATAGAGCAGCTGACGACAGATAAACTATTATTTAACGACCTTTAAACCACTTTATTCGTTTAGACACAAGAGGTTGCAGTGAAACTATTGTAATGTGTTCACAGCAGTATCTTGCATAAACAACACGTTCAATAATAATCCAGTACCTTTTGGTAACACTCTTTAAACTCCTTGTATTGTTACATTTCTATGGTGCTTTTATGAACATGATTGTCATGCTTTGCTGAGTGATTCATGACACTCTTTGTCTTGTGATTTTACATGAAATAAAAATTAAATCTTCATATTGTCATGTAACCCTGATTAAGGTTTACCAATGTAACCATCTGTCTGCTCGTCAAACTAAGTATTATACCACAGTTGGCATCACCAAAACCAAAGTTACCAGTTATAAAGTTGTTAAATAAATAAACCTCCAAAAAAGGGTGTTGAGATTATCTTTGGGATTTAAAACTCTAAAAACTCTACATTACAACCATGACTCATAAGAACACATTGTTTTTATTTTGAAGGGGTCACAAGCCAAAAAAGTTGTGAAACAGTGGATTAAAAGACTCAGTGACATTTATTTATATGGAGTCATTAAGTCTAGCTTTCTACTAGATGTGTTTCCTGCACTATTTATTAATGTCACTAATGCAGTTAACATTGTCTTGACTTTGACAGTTGCCATATTTTTAAATGCTGCAAAGTAAACGTTTACCACTATAAAATGTCATAAATGAAAGACAAAAATGAAGGCACGAAGAGCCTGACGTGGAGTTGAGAGGGGGAGGTCATGTATGTGAGTATTGGGGGCAGAGTAAGGAGGTAACAGAGAGATTTAGAAGATTACAGCTTTATGGTCGGACCGAGGGAAGTCTAGAAATTCCAGAGATGCCTCAGACCACTGACTAACTGGATGGAGTTAAAAACTTCAAAGCAATACAAATCAAAAGGTAAGGAAACATGGGCATTAAGATCACCAGCAAATAAAAAATTCCTTCATATCAAGGTATAATACGATATTGAAGTTCAGACAATAATCAGGATTTAAAAATGTTCTTCAGAGAAAGTAATGCAATCTGAGAACAGAGTGAATACAAACTAAAATCAATAAAATAATGATGTATCTTCTTGTTTTTAATAAATACATTATCATTGTTAGTTATGACCAACAACACAGGAATGGAAACTCAATCCACTACACAGGAAAAGAGAAAAATACCCCTCTGTTTTGACGAAGGAAAATGTGAAATATATAACAAAATATAACATGTATATAGCTCATACTGTACATACACTTACACATTGCACGTTATGAAAGATAAGACACAGACACTTACAGCAGAGCAGGAACACACGTTTAACATTCAATGGTAACCAGTGCAAGATTTTCCTTTTAATGCAACATCAGTAAAAAAAATACTGATGAGCATGTTCTTGTGATCCCCTCTCTAATAATTAATTATCTCCATTTCTTACTTTGAACTAATGTACCGGTTGACATAGATTTGATCAGAATGAAGAGCCTAAAAGAAGAACGAATAAAGCCTGTTATATTCTTTGTAAAATGAATTTGTCGTTTTTAGGTAACACTAAAGAGTTTCCTAAGAGCTAAATTCACAGTATTACAATGATTACATTAAATAAATAGACATGTTTTTTAAACTAAGATTATTAAATACAGCAGATACACTTCAGTCATGATTGAAGCTTACATTTGAATCACCTAAAAGTCAGAAAAGTTACTTCAGATGGTCATATGTAAAAAAAACATTGAGGCAAAATAAATTATACAAAACGTTTTCCCCATTTAAAAAGGGGACCTATCATGCAAAATGCACTTTTTGATGTCCCTTATACATAAATATGTGTCCCCGGTGTGTAAAACCCTCTCTCTTTTCCTCCGTACACAATTCTCTAAAAACGGGGCTACAACGGAGCTGATCCAGATTTGCGTCCGATATGACGCAATATCGGAAATGTAGGCTGGCTTTACACCAACGGCCCTTTCAGAAACATTGCTATCAGAAACAATGCCCGACTGTTTTTGACGTAATATGGTGGGTGCATGTTTACATTAGCATCGCTAACACTCAGAGCTAACCTGCATGTGTGTGAAGTGAAATAGAGGGATATGAGGCATGGCAAGAATGGTTGATCTGTTTGGTATTTTGAGCAAAACACTTCATAGACATGTTTTTATATATTTTTATATATCTGAGACCTATGCTATTGCCTAAAAATAGCATGATAGGTGCACTTTAAGTAATCCGACCATTTCTCTCATTCATATAAGAAGAGCCAACATATAGAGTTCAGATTTTGTTCCAGATTGTTGCAAGGAATTAGACAAACTTGAAGTTGAAAGTGCAATAACAACTGAGGAGGATGTAGTTCAGTTGAATTTATATAATCGGGACAGTAGAGTTTCTGTATGTTCTTCATAATGCAGGAGAAAGTGCATTAAAACCATCGGAACACTAGGAAGGATATCGAGGACTTGTGCTTCTTCATTGAACTGATCCTATTGACGGTTCTTTAAAGTCACAGATGATGTTGTGCTTTTACGAAGAGTGGATGACATGGTGGATGGCGTTTACATTTCATAGATTTGTTGGGAAATCATTTTGGCCTGTGCTATAATAAAACAAGCCATTCAACAGTATAATGATTAGATGGTCCAGGTTTAATGTTTGTGGTAGGAAGGAATCAGTGTCTTTTAAATGAAGAACAAGTAGTTCTGGTCCAACCTTTCTGAAAGGCCAAATAAGACTTAGATTCTGCTCCTCAGAGTTACACAGGGACGTGTTTTTCCAGAAGCTCATGTGGTCATGTGATTGTTTTTCGTTCGACCCGGGGAACCCATTTATGTGTGGTGACCTTCCACAGCACCGGGGCCAGCAGCAGACTGAGGGTGGTGACGCTGAGAACCAGCAGGTACACCTGAGCAGAGACACGGAAAAAAACTTTTAATAGAATATAATCATGAATGTTAGAGTTAATTCAATGTTTCTCACCACAGAGTGAATAGCTGTTGTTTTTAAAAGACAAAAGAGGAACATTTGAATGGTTGGTTTTCTTATATAACATGTGGTATATACGCACGTAGGGTTGCAAAATTCCGGGAATTTTCAAAGATGGAAACTTTCCATGGGAATTTAAGGGAATAAACTGGGAATTTTCTAAATTGAAGGTTGGCTCTTCATAGGGAACTTAAATATAGTTGGGGAAAGTATATTTTAGCATAATCTTGACTAACACAAACAGATGCCATTCAAGTACACTTGAATATCCATGCCATTCCTCAATCACATGCACATAGCACACTGCTATTGAGACCACACACCCTACAGGCACTGTGCATTCCTCCATCACATGCACAGATGATTTCTTGTTTGCCCTCACAAAAGGGACTTATACAGATCCAAATTATATAGACAATATAGACAATTAAAAAATAGACATTTATGTTCATTTTTGAGTGAGTGGTGTTGGGGGGATGAGTAATATTTAACTCAACATTCATGTTTTTGTTCTTCAATGAAACAATTGAAACTTGTTCTGTTCTACTTACAAATAAATCTGTTGAAATGTCATGTTTTTTTTAATTGTATCATTTTGCATGGATGTTTTCTTATGACAAAACAAAATGTTTATATTTATGCTTTGATATGATACAATTTGATTACATTACCCTCAATTCCCAGTTAGTTCCCATAAATTCCCATGGAAGGTTTCCAATATGGAATATTTCCAAAATTCCCCAGTTTAACTTCCCATGGAAATTTACGGGAAATGTTCCGCCACTTTGCAACCCTATACGCACGTAGACCGCTGTGGTTTGATCAACCCTAATTTTGAGATACAAGTCTCAGAGATATTATGAAATATATTTGAGCAGCTCAGCGTTTAACAGATTAGAAACCTCAGTGGACGTATCTAAAAATCCGGATACATAAAACAAAACTTCCTCTAGATAAAAAAAATTACTGTAGCAATTGTGATGTAATCAGATAATTGCTACAGATGTTTCATCAAGCAAACATTTAAAATATAATTTAGTTTGAGCATTTTAAATGTCAAAATTATTTTTTCTGAGTATTTGAAAATAACATTTGGGGATTTTATAAATGTATAGAAATAATTCTAAAGACTATTCAGTAAAGAAAACAATTGTTATTTGTTTTCCAAATGTTGTGTGTTCATAAAAAACTTACAAAGTGCTTCATATATAAAAAAATCACAATAATTAAATATCACTGACCTCTCTGGAGATGATGCCAGCGCGGCGCGCACGGCTGCCCAGGACGAAGGAGAACTCGCTGACCTGAGCCAGGCCGGCTGACACGATCCAACGAATGTGTCGAGAGCCTGGAGGAAGGATGAACGACAGCACTAGGACGGCCATCATGAACTGGGAGGAACATGATGAGAGGAGTCAGTGGAAAGAAGGAGGACTGAGAGTGCGGCAAAGAATAACCGGAGAAGAAAATGACAAACAGAAAGAAAAGTCCTGTACCTTCATAATGACGAGTGTGAAAGTTAACACCAGCAGGATGGTGAGTTCATACAGCACAAATGTCGGGAACACGTGGAGACCTGCGGCAGAACACAAGCGATGATACAGTCAAAGTCTGACTAATAAGTGTGCCATGGTAATAAAGCTGGGATCTGCCTTAAACTGACCGATGGAGGCGAAGAAGATGATGGCGAGGAAATCTCTGATGGGCTCGATGCATCCCATGACCTCCGTGGTGACCATGTGACCCTGTGTGGACAGCAGAGCTCCAGCCAGGAAACAGCCGAGCTCCATAGAAACATCTAAAAACTCTGTCACCTACCGACCAAATATGTACATATGCTGACAGTTATTTTACTCTTATTTTTTTACTCATCTCCTATTTCAAAGTCTTTTATTATTATTATCATTTTATTTTTTTTCTTGATTTTCTTGATTTTTGATTTTATTAATCTGTGTGAATCTTTGCTGTCCTGTTTTTTCACGCTTACCCTGTTGCTGCTTTGTACAACTGAATTTCCCCTTGGGGATTAATAAAGGTTCATCTTATCTTATCAAACAGCGAGAGAAAAATCAACACAAACAATATCTTCCTAAAAAGTTCAATAATGCTGTGGTGTAAGAGGAATATTAAACATTTGTAGAGAAATGCAGGACAAATAATAATACATATTTAAAAGCAAAGTGCGTACCGTCAGCATGAAAAAGACAAAAGCTGCCATCCCCAACACGAGGATCTCTTTGTTGCCTTTGCTCTCAGCATGCAGTTTCTTGTAGAAGGGGGCAATCAGGAAGGATTTGAGTAACAAACACAGCAGCAGCACAGCGGCCAGAGACACCACGATCTGGGCCAGGAGGTAAAGCACACGCAGACTCCCCAACAGGAAGCTGTGTTTCACAAAAGAGACAGCATGTTTAAGTAAGCGGTGTGTGCTTCTTGTTGAGGAGAGGACGCATGCAGAAAAAAAGAAACGGACCTTTCCACGTCTCCACTCTGTGCCTGGATCAGCGTTGGCATGGCGGCGATGAAGAGGCCGAGCTGAACATCTTGCATCACTAACATCCCGAGGAGAACGCTGCTGTAGTCCAGTTCACCTTTCTCACAGACACACATTAATGATTATTGTGCTCAAGAATTTCTCTAAATACATTATTTACATTGTTGAAGTGTGTGTACTGTACTTTTAGGTAGTGAGACTAAATCCTTTTCCACAGCTGCTTTAGATGAGAGCTCTTCAATTATTTCTGTATTTAGGCTTATTGGACAAACACAGCTGCCTACAGAGCAAAACAGGTTGAAAGTCACGCCTAACACTACGATGATATGACGTCATGGGGTGTTGCTTTAATAATTATAAAAAAATAAAAAACCCAGAAATATCCCATTTGTTTTTTTCAAGGGAACCAACAAGGTTAATGGCAATGTTATTTTTTAGGTTGGTTCACAGAATATGTCATCCTTGCAGTGATCTACGTTTATCTATGTGCACCTACCTTCTTTTTCTCGTTCCCCTCTGCTCCCCCCCGCCAGGAAGCGGGACACCAGTGGAGTGCTGGACAGGGACAGGCAGGTGGAAATGAAGACAGTCTGGGTGGGTCGAATATGTAGGACTTGACCCCACAACAGACCGGCCCCCACCATCATCAGACTGAGGTAACACGACCCCTGGACTGATGTCTTCCATACCTACACACACATCCACACACAGAGTATATATCAGTCCACCTTATGGATGTAAGCAGCCTACTAAAACAGATATATTTAACAATTGAAACTCTAACAGAAATGTTTTGATCTAAAACATTTGAAGGCATACACATCATGCTTAGGTGATTTATCAGGTACCTTGATTTACACAATAGGGAAAGTTAGAAGTAGGTATACCAAAAGAAAGATGATGGGAGCAGGAATAAACATTAAGTATAAAGTCCCTTCATGCAAGGTAAAGTCAACGGGTTTCAGATGTTTACAGAGTAATGTGGATCAAATGCCAAACTTTTTACTTTTGGTTTACCTTTTGAAGTCGCTCAGGTGAGAACTCCAGCCCGACCACAAAGAGAGTGAAGAACACACCCAGCTCCCCCAGAGTCTCCACCTGGACCATAGACTGCAAACAGACAGGGAAATTAACAACTAGAACGCACTGGCATCGTTCTTTAACTCTGATCTGACCTGCTGGCAGTTCAGACACACGGACACAGACAGACAGACAGACAGACACCTGCTGTAGTGTAGTGTCTGTGTGAGAGCTAGTTTAACCTGTGCACTGCTAATTGTTAGGAGATGTGCTCCAGTGTGTCTTTGTGTATTGTCTAAACGTTAGTCACTTTCTTTTGGAAGAAAGTTGTCCTTATTTACTAAGTTGTTTTAAAATTTGACTGGTGAGCCGCTTTACTTTTGTATTAATTAAAATCTCACTTTGTGGCTTCAGTAGACCGTTTCCTCTCCTTTTTCTCTCGCCCGGTTATTTTTGTGTTTTGTCACTTCCCTTTGTACCCCTAGTTTAGGAGGGAACGTACAAATTAATTGTTTGTTACGTTCCCTCCTAAACTAGGGGTACAAAGGGAAGTGACAAAACACACACACACACACACACACACCTTGATGCTGTTGAAGCCTGAGGGGCCGAGCAGGACCCCACAGATGATGTATCCAAACATGGGAGGAAGACCAATCAGAGAGCAGATCCAGCCGCAGGGCAGCGACAGCATCACCACCGACACCAAGTCCTACACACACAGTTTTTTGTGTAAATTTAAATCAAAGCTGCCCAACCTTAAACATCACATATTCAAGAAAATAAAAAATAAAAATAAAAAAATGGAATAGACAGCAACACAAACATTTTATTTTAATATAAATAGATATTTCTTAACTTAGCTCATAACATCCAGCATGAGCACTTTCCAGGAATGGCATGGAAGTGTCCCAGATTTACAAAAGAAATAGTGTTTGTGTTTGATTTTGGTTAAAGCAGGATGCAGTATCCCCAAACAAAAACATAGCAGTAAAATGTTGGTAACGTTTGAATGTATCACATACTAAAAACGGCCCTGTTTGTGCATTATCAAGGATTAATACCTAAGGAGCGTGAGTGTGAGGCACGGACCTTGATGAGGTGGTGGTCTGCTCTTGGCATGGTGGAGTCTCGTGGTTTAGTGAGGACGTACTGGTTGTTCTGAGAGTCGATGAGCATGCTCAGTCCCAGGTCATCCTCCACTTCCTTCTGCTTGGACTTGTTCTTCCTCTTTCCTCCATTTTCCTCGTCTTCCTCCACTCTCAACACTGCCTCCACATTTACTCCTTCCATCTATACAAACAGAGGGTATTTAAGGAGTCACAGATTACAAACTACTGTACTTTGTTAAAGGTCCCATGTCATGGCCATTTCTACTGATCAGAATTCCGTTGTTGAGGTCTACTAGAATAGATTTTTTATTGTGCAATTTTCCAAACTCACATTGGTTTCTCATACAGCATCTCTGTATAGTATGTGTATTCACTCTCTGTCCTAAACGGCTTGTTGGAGCTCCTCCCCCCCCTCCCTGTGAGCCCAGTGTGCTCTGATTGGTCGGGACGTTGCGAGGCTCGTTGCTGCGAGGAGCGGACAGGTTTCCAGGTCTGCGATACAGCGAGACACAGCGAAACTCATCCTGAGCACACACAAACACTCACAGCTGAAGTAAATACAATAAGTGTGGCTTGATATTGAGTAAGAAAAAGGTTTATAACGCTGTGAGAATGGGTCTGCGGAGAGCATTTCTCCACCATCCCAACTCGTCTAGTACCAACCAGGGAGCTCTATGCAAGTCAATGGGACTCCCAGTTAGTTGAAAATGTACGCTAAAGGTCCTGGTGTGTGAGGAGCTCCGCGGATTGGTTCATTTGTTTCTTCCGGGAACCGCATGACGTCATGCGGTTCCCGGAAGAAACAAAGATAAATGTCCAACGAGGCGTTCTGGGGCAGCATAGACAGGTCTTTTCTGTGTTAGAGTTGTACTCGCTACAGGGTGTACTTTGAGGGTTTGTGACTTTGGAGACCGTTTACATGCAGAAAAACCAACATAACACACAAGGGGACGGGTAATAACCGGAAAAGCATGACATGGGACCTTTAACAAGTGACTGATGATGGAATAATGACTGTTCAAGCTCCAGGAGTCTGAATTATATTAAGCAACCAGATGTGTTTTCTGACCTCTTTGTTGTTGTCAAAGGCGTGTTCCCCGATCTCCTCTTCCAGCCGGTCTGCTGCCTTCCTAACGTCCTCCAGGATCTCATCCAGCATGGACAGAGTTTTATTTTGAGCTAAAGCGCTCTTTAGAGCTGCCTGCTGGTGCTTCTCAGCAGCCACCAGTTCAACATACTCCTGCTCCTCCTAAAGAGATGGGTGTATAAAAACAAAAAACGATACAAACCTGTTTACACAAAACAGAAGACATTCAAGGATATATAGGAAACAATACACATGATATTACTCTGCCTTTCAGGGTTGGGCAATGTGCTTGACATCAATATCATAATATTTGTCTGGCATTGTTATATGTACATGTCATCATGATATGACAAATGGGTTCAGCCTCACCTTTATGGCTGCCTCCCTGAGGGCGGCCAGCCTCTGTCTGCTGCTCTCCTTAATGTTGACCACATCCCTGTAGTCTCCCTGCAACGCCCTCTGAAGGCTGTGCACCGCCTGGAACACCAGGTGCTCGCTCTCATTCAGCTCCTTCTGGAAAACCTCCAGGGTGTGAACCTGCAAGCAGACAGGGAGACATCAGACAGTCATTTAAATTAATATTATATATCTGGCATCATCTGTACTGAAATAAGGTCTTTATTTGACAAACTAGACGAGACGTCTTCATCAGATTAGCCAAGAGATATATTAATATGTCAAAATAGATCCAGATAACATGGGTTGAAATGGGATGAATTGTGTTAACTGAGAAGAAAAATGCATTTCATTTAGCTTAAAACAATCACACATGACCAGTGTGACAGATTTAAGTCGCATTTAGCAGTGAGGTTGCAAATTGCTCTGGTCCATTTGGTATTTTTTTTTCCGTGTCAAATTTTCATATAATCATTTAAATCATATATATAGATTATGTCTTATACTCTGATTGCCTTTTATTCGTTTGAATTGTATTTTTAGTATTTTATGTGTTTCACAGAGACATATGGGTTGACATTTCAGGAAGGGCAAAAGGTGGATTTGCAAATGGTTAAGGACTGAGGGGTTTTATAGTTTGATGGTGGGGATGTTTAGATCATGCCTAAGAGAATTGATGGGTGGGACCAGTTGGCGATTCTCTCTACTATATAGTGTGACTGTATGCTGTGTTCTGGGTGCAAAGCCATTTTATCCTTTAAGGATAAAATTGCTCTGTTCCTGCATTTGAGATCGATTTCAATTATATATAGACTTTCTTTATTACTTTATTAAATATAAAAAAAGACAAACTTTGTCCATGAATTATTTATCAGTTGAATTAGAATTTCCTCCACACCTGGAAGAGCCTCTCTGGATCTGAAAGGGTCCGGTCAAGTCTAACAGCATCAGCAGCGGCCGCCAGCTTCCTGACCGCCACATTCTTCTGTCTCAGGAGCCCCACCAGACGTTTGCAGTTGTTGTTCACCCAGCTGTGGCCGTGTGTCCCTCCTTTGCCCAGATAAAGCTTAATGGCATTCTTTGCCACCTGATCCTTGTGCAGCACAGCGAGTGCCCCCACCGTGCCAAGGCACAGCAGCCAACATACAACCTGCATCCAAAGCCCTACCTCTGTCTTCACCTGTATGTGAAGATCGATGAAGAGAAAGAGATCTGGAGATGAGAAAAGAAAAAGGATGTTTGTTACAATGATCAACAGGAAAAAACCATCAGGAGGAGACTAATTTAATGGAGATGTCAGGATCATTTTTTAGGTTAAGTGGCTTAAGCGGGGATTATTGAGAGAAGAACAAACAACTTGTTTTGGTATTTATGGGATGTGTTGAAGAAGGGACTTGAGTCTGACGAAAGCCATGAGGCAGCCTCAGACTGAGCTAAAACGTTCTGGAAGTATTTGTCCTTAAATGTGATGTAGATCATCTATTTATGTTTTACTCTGAGCTTTGTGTACTCAGTGGTTCTTTCTTTCTCAAGAGATGTCTAAATATTTGAATGATAATCTGACATGATATAAATGTTATACTTGCTATTCCACTTCCTCTAATGGGATTGCATTCCTACTTTTAAATACAAAAGTCTATTTTAGGAAACTCCTTTATTACAGCCCTTCTCTGACAAAATGTATACAAATACAAATGAATGACTGTTTGCATTTATGCTGTACCACACCTTTGAGAGCATGAGTCAAGTTGAAGGATTTTTACTCTCCAAACTGCTCCTCTGTCCTTCCTTCAACAGGACTGCTTCCACTCAGATACAGTTGCTAGAAATCAAAAGCACAATTCACATACTGTTATAGATTGTTTTATGACAATGCAGTACAATTCATAAAATTATTATAAAACTGGCTTGTGGATAAAAACGTAATCTGAAAATTAACGAATAAAGGAGTTAAAGAAATGTAGTAAACTAGTATTAACTGGCAGTATAAGTATAAGAAAGTACAACAAAAAAAGTGCAGTACTCTTTCGCAGTGGTGGGATCACCACTTTTCTAACACATGAAGTAATCTTGACAATTTGGATATTATTAATCGGAAAATATCATACAATGATGATATTATATGTTTAGATACCCCACAGTATTAAAACTAGTTAGAAGTATCTACACCTTTACCAAATACAATATTAAAGTTATGGAGCATAAATGCATCAATAATTATGATTAATACTGCTAGATGCATGTACATATATACAATTATAAATACCAACACCTCCATGCCAAAGGGGAAATAATTAATATATCATCCATTCCCTACAATCAAAAACATGACAGTCAAGCGTCACATCATACAAACCAGAACACACAGCCAAGTCACGACTGACGTTTCAGGAAATGCCATGGGGAGGTGAAATTAAGAATTAGCTTAATGTCCCAAACACTAAAAGAAAAACAAACAAATGAAGATAAAAAGAAAGAAAGGCAGTAGGCCTACCTACCTGTGAAATATGTGACCTGTCCCGGTTTTCAGCTGTACTCCACGACTGAAGGAGAAGCTGGAGAAGAAGGGAACAATCATGCTGTTGTACCGCAGCACCAACACCCCCCCCTCCTCCCCCTCCCCTGCTGCCACATAGCTGAAGCCAGCGTCGGTGCAGGCGTTCACCGGCTTGCGACCAACTTCATGTTTACTTCGACCTCAAGCAGTGGGTAACACTATTCTTGCTAGCAAACTGGGTGCTAGCGTAACTTCATCCAGGTAGGTGCGACAAAAACCCTGTTAAAGTTGGACCATTCTTTAAAAATGTGTACAAAGTTCAACCTGTTTTCTCTTCTGGAGCTGTAAGTAAAGCGAAGTTGGAATCCTTAAAGCTGTCAGACCAGCTTCAGCCAGCTGAGTCCACACACTCCCATGACACCGAGGCTAAGGCTAACACTACAATGCTAACATTAGCTGAATAAGTTAGCTACACGTCTCAGCAACATTTATGAGATAGGGCTGATCAAGACGTGTCAATGTATAACTTTAACACTAAGCGAAACTAAACAACTGCTGCATTGTTTTCTGATTTAACTTTGATTTATATTAAGATTAAGTTACTTCCGAAACATCTTGATCAGCTTTTATATGGGAGTTGTAGTTTTTATGATGTTATGTTTTCTTACGCGATCGTGCCAACTGCATTGTGACAGCTGGTTAAATATACTTTTATTGGTCTTAACTCTCGCTTAATATTATACATTCACTTTTCCAACAACAACAAACCCGTTTACATAAGCTCAAAGACGAGTTTCCTCGACTGTCCTGCTCAAAACTTGTATTTTGAATGTGGTGGTAAACACAGCTACACATAGGTTTTAATGTGACTTTTTTTAGTTTACATACTATTTGTTAGAAGTATTTTGAGAAGAAATCCATATTTTGCTGAAAAAGAGGTGTTTTAATGCAGTAAAGTATTGAAAAACACAGACCCTGTGGCATTACAGCACTATGGAACTACACTTCCCATGAACAGTGTGCCTCTACTGTAGCGCAGTTCTTTTCACGCATGCGCACCAGGATAATTGGATATCAAGTGGGCCAAAACAGCGTGTGATAAAATGGTATGTAGAATAAAAATAAGAAAACAGTGCTAATCTCTAGCTCCGTTAAACAAGTCCACAACCCGATAACGTATGGCACTACCGTAAAGCGGGGGGCACACCGATACAGGAGACCGGGGTGTCCTCTGCCAAGTGTCGCATAGCCAGGGTGATGTATGTCGGGAATATGAGGGAAATGGAAGGTCAGTTGTTGGTATTTTGAGATCAGGACACCAGTACTTGCCGCACGTACCTTTCCCTTTTTGGTAACTCGCCTGTAGTGTGCCCCGGGTCAGGAGAGAGCATGCCAGAGCGAAACGTCCAGGGTCACCACACACTGCTCTGTCACCGTGAATCTGCTGTTTTGATTATCGGGTGGGTCAGGTCTGCAGTTCGGCAAAGACGTGCAATCCTCCCGATGACTGTCTAGTTTAAGTGAACAGGAGGAGGTCTTTTTGTAAACTAACGGGACTTTACGCTGGGCTATTGAGTGGAGGTTTTGGTTTTCCGTAATGTACTAATGGCTGATGCGCGCATGATATGAGTCCTACTGATCAGGTATAATAGCAAGTGTTATTTATCCACATCCAACTGTGTGTGTGTACAGTTTAAGTACAGAAAGTTTAGGCTGAGTGTTGCCGATGCGCAGCCTCAACTATACATGCATATCTGTGCATCCATTTACCATAACACTAGATTACCGCCTGTCTACACCCTCAGGTTCCTGCAGCCCCCAGGTTGTGTGTGCAGAAAATAGTTAGAAATCATTTGTTTGTTAATATGCACCATTCAAACACAGTAACAACTGAAATGATAAAGGCTTCTGCATTTAAACAAAACATTACATCTCTGTGTTAAAATTCTGCTTTAATAATTGTATTGTTTCACTTGATGTTGTGCTTGCATGGTGCACATCCTGACACAGCCCTTAATGTATCTTGTGTACAACTTTGTTTCACAGCAAAAGTTGAAGTCATCGCAGAAGGACAAGGTTCGGCAGTTCATGTCCTTCACGCAGGCCGGGGAGAGGACAGCCGTGTACTGCCTAACGCAGAATGACTGGAAACTAGAAGTCGCCACAGATAATTACTTCCAAAATCCAGACCTATACTACAAAGAATCCATGAAAACCTCAGTGGACCGCAAGAAGCTGGAACAGCTCTACAACAGATACAAAGGCAAGTGTTTCAAAACTAATGTTAAAGGTCCCCTATTATACTGTTTTTTATCAATATATTATAGGTCTCAGATATATACAAAACTGAAGTGTTTGGCTCGAAATACCAAACAGATCATGCATTGTAGCATCCCATAATCCCCTCTGTTTCAGCCCTATTTCAAAAGTGCTGATTCTCTGTCTGTTGCTTTAGATGAAAATAAGGAGCCCCTCCCCACGCCCCTCTGAGAGATATTTGGTTAAAAAGAACACAATGGTGCTCTAGGAGGAGATTCAGGGGATAAGGGGGGGGGTGTTACCTTGGTTGGTTATTGGCTAATGGTTACACAAGCGAAAACATCGTTATGACATCATCAATTGGCCAAAATCTGATCAGCTCATTTTCAGACAGGTTTTTATACGAATGGATTCAGGACAAGAAGTGAGCGAATCTTTTTTCCTGAAACTTTCAGAATCGGTTTACACAGAGAGGACACATGTTTGTGTATAAAAGACATGAAAAAGTGGATTTTGCATATTAGGTTCCCTTTAACATTAGCACCGTTTACCTTGCCAGTCTGTAACACTTTGGCATCTGTGTTTGCAGACCCCCAAGATGAAAACAAGATAGGTATCGATGGCGTCCAGCAGTTCTGTGACGACCTGATCCTGGATCCAGCTAGCGTGAGCATCCTTGTGGTGGCATGGAAGTTCAGAGCGGCCACGCAGTGCGAGTTCAGCAGAAAGGAGTTCCTGGATGGCATGGCTGAGCTAGGGTGAGCAACACTGGTACTGAAATCTACAACATTTGATTAAGAAGTCACCTCATTCTCAACAGTTCATTGCCATGATAATTGTAATGTAAAGACGTTTTTAGAACTTTTGTTTTTTATGATGCCCAAATATTTAAGCTCAAGCTGCACAACAATCACTCTGTACAAAATAACAGTCACTTCAATATTATGAGAATGCACCAATGTACATGTATTTCGATCTCTCTATCTATACACACAAACTGGAAGATTTACAATAAAGTTGACTTTGACTTTGATATTTTGTTAAAATGTTTAATGATTCCTAATGTCTCCTTTAGCTGTGACAGTCCAGAAAAACTCAAGGCCATCCTTCCCAGACTAGAGCAGGAGCTGAAAGACACTGGGAAGTTCAAAGACTTCTACCAGTTTACCTTCAATTTTGCCAAAAACCCAGGCCAGAAAGGTTTAGGTAAGTTTAAGAACAAAACATGAAGAATAGAAGAACATGTATAAAAAGGGTGTTACTTGTTGTTTAACAGATTTTATCTGGACAAAAAATGTAAAAAGTCTTAATCTACTTTGTGTTTTAGACCTGGAGATGGCTGTCGCCTATTGGAATCTAGTTCTCACTGGTCGCTTTAAGTTTTTGGATCTCTGGAACCGCTTCCTGGTGGTAAGCAAGAACATTTTATACATTCAGAATAGTTCTTCCGCATATTCTGTCCATCTCATTTACAAAGTCCCTGTGAAGAAGAACAATACTAGAATCACTACAGTCAAAAATCAAAAATAACCAGTACATTAAACACAATTTTGACACATTGCCAACAACCACTAAGGTTCATAAAAGCTGTTGAATGGAGTTTTAGTGATTTTGTAATAATGTTTATCCCTCAATGTTCCTGTCACTGTGCTGCATTCAGGAGCATCACAAACGCTCCATTCCTAAAGACACGTGGAACCTCCTCCTTGACTTCGGCAATATGATCACAGACGACATGTCAAACTACGATGAGGAAGGTGAGGTTTTTAAAGCAGGATAAAGTCATGTGAACACATCTGAGTGGTTAATTCAACACTGAAAGATGAATTCTGGCTGATCACATACACTTTTATTACTGATAATGCAGTTAGTCCCCCTGATTAACCCAGACTACAGCCAACATCTTTTCAAGTTTGTACTGCTTGCATTAACATCATGTGTGTGTTGATAACAAGATTTCATTGAGATGTAACTACTATTTTTCTCTCTCTCAGGGGCGTGGCCTGTCCTCATAGACGACTTTGTGGAGTTTGCTCGGCCGATTGTGACGAGTAAGCGCAACATGACATAGTGTTTGTCCCGGCTTCATGCAGCAAATGGAGTTTGTGTTTCTCCCAATTTTCTTCTTTTTTTGAATGAGGATTTTCATACAAATGAGCCAAAAAGAGAGTACTTCTCAATAAGCCTGTCTGCAGCTTGATGTTAGGATTGTTCCTCAAACTGTATAAGATGCCTTGACCAGGAACAGTGCAAGAGGAAAACAGGAGGGGAATCAACAGGAGAAAGATTAATTATGTTTTTTTTTTGGCAAAGACAGACTTTGTTATTGCAATATGGAAATGTTGAGTACCCTGAGAACTCTTCACCAATGGGTGTGGCTTGGAACTGCTGCTGACTTTCTCACTAAGCTGCACCCTCGGCACAGTCAGGAGGGAAGGTAACGGTGAACCCTCAGCACACGCAGAAGATTAACTTATAGATGCAGTAGGATGTGGCCTCTCACATTGTCAATTGTGAATGGGACAGTCTGTTCAAATCTGCATGTTTATGTCAGCTAGTGTGAAGCAGTGCCACTGATGTTGAGGAGGGGAGAAAAACATAGAAGTCTACATTATTTTCACTGAGATTGCGAGTGTGGAGCTCTCTTACAATCACACTGAGAGAAGTGTGTGTGTGTGTGTGTGTGTGTGTGTGTGTGTGTGTGTGTGTGTGTGTGTGTGTGTGTGTATTTTTTAAGGGAGGTAAACATATGGCCTCCTTTACAATGCTTAATATTTTCATTTGGTTTTATGATATTAGAAGTTAAGAAATTATGATTCACCTTAACTAGCCAGAGAGAAAGAAAGGGTTCAAGTCAACATTTTGTATTCACACTATTGGACAGAGCGGCATGCTTTTCAAGCTCAGCACCAGCAGAATCATGTTGTTACAGCCGTAACACGCTGTATACCAATAGGAATAAGAAAGATCCAATTTTAAAGAAACCGAAATGTATATCTGAGAAAACAGGTAATGACATTTATAATCATGATTGGTACATTGGTTAGATCCTCATGTTTTAAATGCCTCTGCATTAAATACTTGACTTTTATGTTGCAGTGTGTGTACTGCTGTACAAAGAGAGACTGACTGGCACATTGACTGTTTATCAGCCAGGTGATTTGCCAACTGTGCAAACTGCACTGATTTACACTTTTCTGTTGTAGGACTTTTCTTTATCAGGCAGTACTGTACACAGCTACTCAGTTTACTTGACTGTAGCTTCACTAACACATCAGACTTTTTAAATGAACATCTACATCCGAGCTAAGAGTATTTGAACTGTTAGTTTACACTGTTTGAGTTTTAGCCTGTTGCTTATCATGAATTAGTGACTAGTGCAATGGTGGCATGTTTAAGTAACTACCACAGAGCAAAACATGTCACTTTGAGAACAGTGCTCAACAGTACTTGCACTGCCATCTAGCGGTGCAATGCTTTTTCTCCAAACAAGATGTAGTGTTGCTCTTTAAGTGCAGTTATGAACTTTAAATGCACCGCGCTTTCCTGGTCTAAAGAGTGTGGCAGAAGGTAGAGCTCAGGTTCCAGTCGTCCTCTCTCACAGTGCAGGTGGCTTCCTGCACCTGCATCACTATTTGCCATCTTACTATGCTGTCTAGTTCTACCAATTGTCACTATGATAAAACTATGTTATTAAGTGAGGATGTATTATCCTGCAACAAATCTCAAATCCAACTACAGTTGTAATGATTGCCTTTTGTTTTTTAAGTAGACAAACTTGTGTTTAAGTTTGCATATATGTAGGCACAGGTCATAACTAAGGTGGGGTGTGTTAAGTTGACTTTCAGAGTGGATCGGGATGGGAATTTATTATTATTTTTGTCTCTGACTGAATGCAATCGAGTGGCAAATGAAACAGCTTTATTATGACTGTAAAACAGTCACTGTAGCAGCTGGTACATATATCATATGTGTTGGTGGAATCAAATACCCTGTATAACTTTCTGACCGTTGAAGTTGTGCACAGACCACCAGCACAGCCAGATGGTGTGAAAGCTTTTCCCAGTTGATTGTGGACAGAATTATCTGGCATCCTCTGTGGATTTGGAGCAAGAAAATGTAACCTCTTTCGGTTGTTCAGTTTGCTCACATGGTACATTTGGTACGTGTTTATTTATCAAATGTCTGGTCAATTGTGTCAAGTCATGCAGATCATTCTTATCAAAACAGTATTATTGTTGCCAGCAAGAAAACAGGTATTTACAGAATATTATGTTTTGTCACAAAAGCATTGTTTTCTTTTAGAAAGTTGTGAATAAAGCATGTTGTTTTTAAAGAGCCTTGTGAAGGTTTGTCTCTGTCTAACAAGTTAGTATATTGCACAGTTAAGCAGAGTTGTGTTGTGCAGAAATCAATATCCTCAGATTCATATTTTTCTGAAAATCAAGAGGAGTCAGGACATGGCAAATGCAAAAATGCAGCTAAAATATAAAAGTTGATCTTCAGTTTGAAAAATATGTTGTACATTTAATCAAACAAAACTGTTATTAAGCAAGTCACATGTTAAGCAAGATCATCAGGAACTAATATTGTTAGTTTTTTATTTAAAACCTAATTCTGAATAGTTAATTTGGATTGGATAGCAGTATTCTGTAACATTTAAACAATAATAATGTTATGATATCACTAAAGGTTCACTGTGATAATACAGAGTTTGTCTCAGCTATTGCTTTGCTCTATTCAGAAGAGACCCTTAATTCAGCAGGTATTTACACAGACTGATTTTAGTGATATAGAAGGTGGAAGTAATAAATCAAACATAATATCCGTACTTCTGATTGTGTGTTTACAATGAAATATGTCAGCTTGGTAACAGTTGTCCATTATCAGGTTGCATTCCTGCATCATATCATCATTGTCCCCTCTGGTAATGTCTACTGCTACTGAGTATGTGAAGGGCGACATTCAAAAACATATACATAAATGAATGGTTGGAAACGATTTCACAAAAAAGGTGTGAGGAATAAAATAACCCAAGGGAGGGGATGTCATGGATGCATTGCACATAACTGCAGAGGGGATCAGCAGATGTCAGTGCAGGAGGTGTGTAATAAGTCCGTTTTTAAAAGTGAGGTAAAGATGAGAGTTGAGCTTCAACAAAGAAGGCAGGCTAATGGAGCAGGGATGACGCTCCATTCTTACCCTCCTCCCATGGGACAGGGATGTCAACAAGGTCCACACCAGCTGAAGAGCCCGCCCTCTGCCCAGCAGCACATTAGCATCTCTTCCAGTGCGTCCAGCCCCCATTACCACTCAACACCCAGCCTTCCAGCTTTTAGGCTTTGGGGCCATGGGGATTGCCTTTTTAGGAGACACCTGATCACTACTGAACTACCGGCCGCCCAACACAAAGAAACTCTTGATGCGTTTGTTTTCACATCCACCTTGGTACTGAGAAGCTCTACAAAGCTCCACGAGTGGGAAGAGAGATTTTATTGAAGTGGAGACAGGTGGTAGCTCCACATCAAGCGGAAATCTTCATAGTGTGAGAGCCTGACAAAGTTGTTATTCAGGATGTTTTGGGGCAAGATAATTTGTTCTTCTTCCTTGGTTCTGTGACCGTGAGTTCGGTTGATGTGCTGAAGAATTACATCTGAAAGGAGGTAATACTTCAGCTTTTGTTTGTGCCAGGAGCCGTCTAGATCGCAGGAGAAGTGACCACTTCATTCAAGAGAACAACCTCTGTTGCTGTCCAGTATGATGGAGAAATTCAAGGCCGCCATGGTTTTGGGAGCTGTTGGTGATGCTTTGGGCTACAGAAAAGGAAACTGGGTAAACTGCCATTCAGGCAAGCAGATCCAAGAGGAGCTGGCCTCTCTGGGGGGACTGGGGGCCCAGAAACTGGACCCGGAAAACTGGCCCCTGAGTGATGCAACGCTGATGCACATCACCACAGCAGAAGCACTCATAACAGGTACGTTTAGGATTGATGTCAAGAATGACAAAGGATTGATGATTGTCTAAGAGGCAGATAACAGTGTGTAACTCATAACATGACTATATCATCAATTGCTGATTTATTCTGTTTTGCAATGTTGAATATCCAATCAGAATCAACAAAAAAGCCTTCATACAGAACTGAAACCTGTAGTTTTTTTATCTGTTCAATAAAATACGGACCTAACATCACATCTGTTTTCATTTAAAACCAGAATAGCTTCTTCTGTACAGTCAATGGAAGCTGCTAATCGCTAACTGGCAGAACATTTTTGAAAGGAAAAACCTGCCTACATACCATAACCCATCACCCAATAGGTCATCAAAGACATAATCTCAGTAGAAGCCTTACTATATATCACTCAAACATCATTTCAAGCCCCCGCAGGGTGTTGCCGGGACAGAAAAGTCCAAAATAGATTACTTTGGAAAAGCGGACCCTCGGCTCTCCTTAACGGAACAATAGCAGGTCAGACTCCTCCATAATCTACCAGTATCAAGTTTGGCTGCAGACTTGCGTCAAAGCCGATGACCATGGTCCTGGGAAATAGTGATGACATCCATTGAGATTAGGAAGCCCTATTTAGCCACAATCCAGCATGCCTGCACACACACTCACACATCAGCACTGCAGACAATATATGATGGAGTGGAATGAATGTTGCGAATGTGAGTGTTTGCTTTGTCAAATATATCACCAGCATCCAGAAAGACAATGTGTAAAAATAAGGACTATTTTCTCAGCTCCCTCTTAACACACCGTTATTGATAAATGTATACATTTGTATATCTCCGCTCTACCTCCATGTAACAGAATTAGCTAAATTCAGCCAAGAGGGTGAGAATCCCCGTCTTTCATCAAAAATGTTTGACTACTTAATTAGACGTGGTACTATTTTGTCATCATAGGCTCTCTTTCTCTCTCTCTCTCTCTCTCTTACTCACTCACATGTACGCACACAAACAAACAGTACACACATAAACAATTTCTAGCAGGATGGCTGGGGGCTCTGCTCGTGGATCCCTATTGACCTCATGGTGTGTGGAAGTGACTCCACTCGCTCTAAAGGCATGCTGGTCCTAATCTTTGGTGTGGCAGGCTGAGGCTAAACTTAGCCTTCTGCAGCGCCACTCATCTCGCCTTGCATGCCAATCTGTGTATGTGTGTGTATGTCTGTGTGTCCAGATTACTGGTGTCTGGAGGACCTGTACCGGGAGCTGGTGCGTCTCTATGTTGAAGCCATGGTGTCGCTGCAGGGCAGAGCACCTGACCCGGCCACAGTGGAGGGATGTGTTCATCTCAAACCTCACAACTTCCTGCTCGCCTGGCATACACCCTTCAATGAAAAAGGTCATTGGAGATTGTAGAGATTTTCTTCTAAAAATAACAACAATAGGGTCCCAACCAACACTTTTTATCATCAATTGATTTGCTTATTCTTTTCTTGATTCCTCCAATTATCTTTTGGTCTACTAAAAATAGTACAAAATGTCCATCCTTTCTCAAATGTCTCAAAGTCAAAACTACTTATACTATGAATTGATTATCAAAGTAGTTGGTGATTATTATTCTGTTTCTGTCTAATACAAATCATTAGAGCTATACGCTACCTATTATGAAAATGTTGTTGTGGAAGTGACCACTTACTATATGTCTACTTTATGTCCAGGGTCTGGGTTTGGGGCGGCTGCCAAAGCCATGTGTGTTGGTATGAGATACTGGCAACCTGAGAGGATCGACAGCCTGGTGGAGGTCAGCATTGAGATTGGAAGGATGACCCACAACCACCCCACAGGTGACGATGTCAGCTCGTTAGAACCTTTCCAAACAAATCTGATTAGACCCCAGGCTGATTATTGTGCTGCATATCTAATTATACTTTACCTATAAGAACATGGATTTAATACTTTGGTGAGTTGTAGTTGTCATTACAGTAGAAACAATTGACTTCTGGTGTCACTCTTGGCTTCAGGTTTCTTAGGCTCCCTGACAACGGCACTGTTTGCATCCTATGCCATCCAGGGGAAACCTCTGGTGACTTGGGGCCGTGAGCTCATGAAGGTCATCCCTCAAGCAGAGGACTACTGCAGGAAAACCATACGACACCTGGCAGGTTAGATTCTGTTTCCGTCTTTGTTAGTGAGGGACGAAGACACCATTTTACAGCTTGGTGGATTTATTCAGGTCAAGTTAAGCTTATGTAAAGAACGAAACAAAAGCAGTTATATCAAAGGTCACCTTTTATGCTAAATCGACTTTTTCATGATTTTTATACATAAATATGTGTCCCCTCTGTGTAAATAAATTCATAAAGTTTCAGGAAAAAATATCCTTTCCATTTTTTTCGTGATCCATTTATATAAAATCGAGTCTGAAAATGAGCTGATCAGATTTTGTCCACTTTTTGATGTCACAATGTTTTGGGGTTGTGTAACCATTAGCCAATAACCAACCAAGGTAACCCCCCACCTTATCACCTGAATCTCCTCCTAGAGCATTTAGGTGAGGTGAGGTGAGAGCTTTTTTTTTAACCAAATATCTTGCAGAGGGGCGTGGGGAGTGGCACCTTATTTTCATCTAAAGCACATGTGTCAAACTCAAGGCCCGGGGGCCAAATCAGGCCCTTGATGGATTTAATTTTGGCCCGCAGGATCATTTCTAATTGCTATTAGATCTGGCTCGTCGGTATATTGCACGCACACCTTCACTCCATCCTGAGGATTTCCTCAGCTCAGAGCCTGAGCCCAAACATTGATGAACTTGCACCCAAGATGAGATGCCAAGTATCTGGCTTAGTGTGCACCACGGAGCAGCAAACTGAGTTTAAATGTTTCCTTCTGCAATTTTTTTCTTGCGACAACAGGGCATATTTGTTTTTTTCTTTGAGGGAAATAGTTTTTTTTAAGCTTTTGTTGGCCTATGGGAAAATGTAATCATAAGAAATGACTCCGGAAAAGCTGCAGATAGAGCCATAAGAAATGAATGAAACTGATTATTTAATGTTTAATGTTGTTTTTATAAGCAATAATTTAAGCTTTGTTAGTTCCAGGTTTAATATGTGCAATAAGTTAATTTCAATAAGTTTTGCATTAAACATTGAACCAGTCCGGCCCTCGACTAGTACAGATTTTTTTTATTGTGGCCCAGTGTGTATTTGAGTTTGACACCCCTGATCTAAAGTAGCACACACAGAATCAGCATTTTTGAAACACTTACGAGACATGTTTTGTATATAACTGAGAACTATAATATATTGATGAAAAATATTATAATAGGGGACCTTTAACATTTGTTTCTTCGGTATAAGTCACATTTTATTTTTTCTTACATGTTACTGAGAGAGCATTAATTGAAACCAGTTATGTGTGATTGTGTGCAGAGTATCTAGAGAACTGGTTTTACTTTGAGGCCAAGTGGCAGTTTTACCTGGAAGAGAGAGCAATAGAGAATGAAGACCAGAACAAACCCACCTTCCCTGATCGCTATGATGCTGAGGAGACAGACAAGGTAAATACTACTTCTCTCTCACAAAAAAATACACATACAGTTTAGCTTACAGAACCCCTCACAGGAACATTGTGCCGCTGCTGCATTGTCTTCATCCTTACAGATTTATAAGCACTGGAGCTCAGAGGGCCGTGCGGGCCGCAGAGGTCATGATTCCCCCATGATAGCCTACGATTCCCTCTTGGCAGCAGGGGGTGACTGGGCAGAACTGTGCAAAAGATCCATGTTTCATGGAGGTGAGTGCCTGCAAGACATTTCCAAACACAGATAGATAAATCACAGAGCCTGCTCACAGTGACTTGTGTGAAAATGCTCTGTTTTGTAGGTGAAAGTGAAGCCACAGGCCTGATCGCAGGTTGTCTCTATGGCCTCATGCACGGCCTGAGTCAGGTTCCCCCAAGCCTGTACCAGGATTTGGACAAAAGGGAGCGTCTGGAGGAGCTGGGAGAAAAGCTTTACAAAGCAGCATCTGCAGAGAAGTGCATAGACAAGTAATCCTTCTCTACACTGGCCTGAACCCTACTGGCTATCAGGGGAACTGCACAAGGCTGCTTCCCTTTGTCCCACACTTCCCTCTCTTTCTTAGAATCCTAATAGTCTATAGGGGCACCATGTCCTTTCCTTGCCTGTACTCCCCCCACTCTTTGATTTAGCTTTTTCGCAGTTCATGAATTGGAAAATAATGCAAATTTGAGGCAGAGGAACATCAAAAGGGAGACCATTTAGGGTATTGAGGTTCAGCCTTTGTCATGACTCAAGACTGCTTTCATTTGAGGTCATCTCTCTGGAGCTGCATCTGCACTCAGTTGCATATTTGTCAATTGATGGCAGGGAGGAATAACCGGTCTCCAACTCATATTATTCTGACAGAACTGTGAGGAAAAGAAAAACTATTCTGCTTTTTTTAATTTTATTTTAATTGAGAATAGTACGATAATTTCCTTCTCTGGCATTTTCCCTCTTCTAAAGCTAACCACGATTAACACGAAGCACAAGGTTATGTCGTGTCATGGAGGATCTATTCCTTCAAAACATTGTGCAAACCTTTAATAAACTAACAGATTTTAAGATTAAGTAGTTTTGCATCTAAATACATATTCTTTTAATTGTTTGAACACATTCGTGCAATAGCATTACTTTGATCTTATACTGTGATAAACTATTATTTGCACTGTGATGCTCTTATCAGGTATAATATTAGTGTACTATTTTGTGAAAGTTACTAGCAATTTCCTGGTGAATATATGATGTGAATATTAAACTGGACTCAGATATATATCATGCATGAAGTGCCTGTCTTTTTTTTTTATCTTAACTACAAAATTAATTTTGATGAGCAGCTTGTATCCTATCTTAATTTGCTACCAGATCGCCTCAGAACCCTACTCTGCAATCCCCTGCACTAATAACAAGTAACAATTTCACGCTGCTGGAGCACCTCACTTCAAGTCTGAAAATGGTACCTGCTCTACTTTGCTGCGGGGCTGGGAGGAATTCTGGTATATCCAGTTCAAGCTGAAGTTCTGTTTATTCACTCAAATAGAAGATTAATAAGTGAGAGACAACATCAAGCTTTTTGGAGATCACTTGGACTAGCTTTACCGCCCATATTTCAAAATTGTGAGGTACCATTTTTACATTCTATAACCTGTTTAGTATATTTACTACGTTCATTCTCAAAATAGTGCAAGACCAATAAAATGCTCTTCCAAGATACAATTTATTAAAGCATAATTGAAAAAAACATTTATACAATAATTGAGTTCTGTTAAAAGTCTCAGTGAGAATTAAGTCAAATTTTAACCACATTTGAACTAAATCAAATATTGAAAATCTCAAAACCCTGTGCTCAGTTGACATCACATTGTTGGTTATAAGTGACCTGACTGAAGTAATTACACACCTCCTTACAATTATGCATCCAGCACTGACACTGATTTAATGATTTGCCAAACAGCTGTCTAACTATTCAGGTATGCTGAAATCCAGATTGCTACAAGGATTAAGTTTTGCGTGTCCTTTATTCTCCATAGACCAGATTCTCGGAAAAGCAGTATCAGCCCTGATGCCAGTAAGTTGAGGAAGTTGATTAGAGACCGCAGCTGCCATCCTGTTCTGCGAGGGATTCTGGAGAGTCTCCTGCATTACCTTACAAAGGATCTGCCCATGAGGACCAACGGAAACCAACGTGGACAGAAGCCATGGTTCGATGTTGTAGGCGAAAGTTACACAGATGTGCCTGATCAGGAAGTTGGGCAAACTCAACTTCATATAAATTGCATCATTTTTCAGCCATCTGAAGAGCATAAAACGACCAACGGAAAGAGAGCTGGGACCAGTTTGAAAATTCCTGAAAGATGCTGTACAGAACGACCGAAGGACAGATGGCCAAGCAAGTATGGAGGAGATATAAAAACAGGAGGCTTAATACAACGACGTCTTACCACATTCCAGCTCCTCCAATCCAAATTCATACGCTCCACACCTAAACCTCCCATCACCCACCAAAGGGAAGTAGGAACTCTGTGCTCTGGCAGAACATTCGCAGCTAATGTGAACCACTGCAGAGACAGTGAGAATGTCATCAACAAGAGGGATCGGACTAGAAGAGGACAAGGAATGAAGACGGGGGCCAGTGTCAAACATATTGTGGCCAAGTTTGCTAAAGCTGAGCAGAAAGAAAAGGGAGAGAACATGCTGAAGAAACAGCCAATCACACCAAGTGTCATCGGAAAAGGGATACTCCTGTCTTCATTAATGGAGAGGTTTGAGAACATTGCCACTGTATGTAGGGGATCTGACTTAAGAGGTTCACATGAAAAGCCTTCTGCAAAAGTCAAGGTGACAAGTAATATAAAACAGAGGGTATCTTCTAATGAAACACAGCACCGAAAGGCACTAGATCCGCCTGTTCACAAACACAGCCAACAAAAGCAGAAGAAAAGTAAATCTGTTGGACATCAGTTGAATGGAAATACATCCACAAATGGGCAAAACAACAAACAGCAAAGACCAGATCAGGCCATAGACCTTTTGACAAAAGTAAACTCAAGCATGGAAGAAAAAGGTAATTTGAAAGCAGAACAAATTACGCAAACAGTGGGCCACCAATCAGGTCAAAACTCTGAAAGCCATTGCTCATCAAACCATACAGAACAAACTTCCAATAATGATGGTAAGGGTTGGAGGACAGAGGATTATGAGGAAATTCAGACTATAGCTGAAGAAACCAGTATCGCCATCAAGTTAAAATATGGACATCCAGAGCTGCTCTGTCTATCATCTGTCACTGAGACGTTGCTCACAGATCCTTGTAGGCTTCTTCCACAGGTAGAAGACGAGGTGATGTTGCATGTGGCGACCATCGTGACCTGCTGTCCTGTGTGGTCAACCTGTGTAGATTATTCTCCTAAACTACATTCCCTGGAACAATCAGAAAGCCCAACCGTGGAAAAGATACCAAACATGAAGATGGAAGTTTGTCATATAGATCTACAAAATGTGAGAATAGGTGACACAGCTCCTTCAGGGAGATGTCAAATAAAGCCGAAGATTGAGGAACTTTCTTCAAATACAAGCCTTAAACCAATGGAGGAGAGAGCAGTGGAAGATCCAAGTGACACTGCAGCTCTTTCAGGGAGATGTCAAATAAAGCCAAACATTGAGGAACTTTCTTCAAATACAAGCCTTAAACCAACGGAGGAGAGAGCAGTGGAAGATCCAACCAAAGCTATGAGCGTTCAAAGAAGGACGCCAATGTACGTTATCCCTTGTGTTCGCAGATTTGGATTAGATGCTGCGGATGAGAGTCAATCAGGACCGCACCCAGAAATCATAACTCCTTTGGATGGAACAGGGACACTTAAGTCTGATAGTTCTATAACTGCATTTGACCATGGATTGGTGCCAATAGGACCACACGTATTTCCTCCTAACAAAATGAAAGGACAAACCCTTATAACTGAAAAAAAACTAACCGGCAGTAAAGCACATGAAAAAGACAAGGAGGCCGGAGAGGGAAGAGAGGATGTAACAACAAAGGACATCAAATATAGTGTGCCACAAAGTTTGAGACTTTCTGAAGACAGTGCCATTAAGGATGCATTTGAAGACACCAGGATTTCTGCAGTAACAAAGATTCAACCTGAGAGACACAGTCCTAAACAGAGACCAAAGTACAAAACAATCAACTATGGGGATCCTTCAGTCAAACAAATATATAAACCCAAAACCATACGATTTACTGACACCTTTAACTTCTAGCTTGGTAGTATTTAACAGTGAGTGATGCACACAGGAATGTTGTACAAGGAATTCAAACTTTAGTTCATCTGAATGTACCCTCATGCGTTAGCAAAAATACAAAGTTAATACAAAGTAACAGCTACAGAAACGCAGTGGAAACAAGTGAACGTGGTGTTTTTAAGCCAGAAGCTAGAACATGCAAGAAAATTGCTCAGGCAAAACCCCACTGTAAACACTTATCTTGTGTATAATTATCACAACATTGTTCAATTAAAATCTAATGTATAATTTAACAGGTTTACATATTCATAAAGGCGCTTTACACTATAGTCCACCTCAATATTTATTTATAGCAATGATAACGTCCAAATAAACTACTACAGTTACACTAGCTGGCCAAGAACTTATCAAGGTTGTTACAAATAGTAACATTCCTCATATTATCAGGACTGTTAACTTCTTAGGCTGCATGGAGCCTTACATGTTATGCTGTATATATATATTTACATGTATAATAAACATATATGTTAGGAGGACTGAACGTAGAAGTAAAGAGCTAAACAGCTTTACATTTGGAAGGTGAATTATGATTTAATTCAGTATAAATCTATGTTAATCCATCCATCCATTTTCATCCATCCCCTCTCCATAGCATCCTTTTCCAGCTCCTCCTAAGCGCTCACAAACCAGATTATTTCAGTGTCAGGTGCATGCTGCTTACAGTTTTTTTCAGTTGCTAACACACTAAAATGACACATAAAGCATAGTTATTAAAACTCACACTCAAAGGGCAAAACCTCAGCTTAAATCTCCAAAACTCTAAACACATTTTCAGCTCCCCAATGTGCAATTCAACTTGGTACGTTTTGCAAGACAATGCCCACAGTTCTCTAAGTAAGACACATTTTCAAAACACTGCCATTATAATTGCTACACACATGAATCAACACATCATTAACACATGCCAAATGAACATAAAAACAGAACTTATTTTTGTAAAAATGTTAACTCTTACCAACAACAATGGATATATCCGATGGCAGCAAGTGGGAATATGTAGAGGGAGGATAAGTAGTTGAAGAGTTATTTGCAACGGTTGAAGCTGTGTGACCGTCAGGCTGTAGGTGCATGCTTCTTCTGAGTGTTGATGGGGGGCTCTGGCCAGACCCAGCTAGGGGATGAGATGCAGCCTAAGCACTTTTCTTTCCTCTGTTTTTTGTTAAAAGATTGATTTTTCCTCAAAGTTTTCCTTTCGATGTACTGTATTTGACAGAGGCATCATTTTTGTTTACAACTGTAACTATGTGTTGTGCATGACTGTTGCACCAATTTGTTTTGGAGAAAAATAAAAGTATAACAACAGTATGTTTTTGTTCCTGCACTTATTTTTGTAGACTTGAAAAAAATGTATATGAAGAATTCTCTACATACAGAACGACCTTAAAAGATGAGTGTGCTTTAGATTTAGCACAATGGTGTGTAGTTGGTTACTGTAAATAAAGTGTTTGCCAATTGGGTGCAAATGTTTGGTTTTGGTAAGTGCGGTTAGTAATTCTGCAGGATATATGAGGTGTTTTGCACTTGTTTTGAGAAAATGAGCCTTGTTTTCAAAAATGTGTGTCAGCAATTAAAAAAACCTTTATTCAATGATTTTAAATATGATAAATTGGATTTTCAAACCATGCTTGAAGCTCAAATGCACGAGTGCAAAATACATTATTATACAAACCGGCTGCAGTGTATACAGACTCACTGACCCGGACACATTGCCAAATACATGGTCATGAAGGTTACAAGGCTTTTTATAAATGATTTTCAATCAAATATAAAGAGGATACTGTGGTGATGCCCCAAACAGATGAAAGGTTGCAAACAGCTTTGACAAACATGTCACATGTGGCTGGAAACTCATCCTATTCAGAGATCCTACCCCGCCCATCAGCAGGATTACATTATTGCTAAAACATGAATCTGCATTTGCACTTACTTACTCTGGTATTTTCCCAAGAGGATAAGAGACCGGGCCTACATGATCCATCAAGGCTTATCCTGATACGTAGCAGTTGCGATGATCAGGAGTATGGTGTTGTTATTTACTGTCTGTGTAGGGCAGAAACGCTTAAATCAAATTTGAAGTAATTTGATTTAGGTAGGGTTAAAAGTGCTTTTCTACATTCTGAAACAGTTGGTAGTGATATACATATTTACACACCTGAGTAAACTATAGTTGTGGTGTTTATGGAAATGAATACAAAAAGAACATATTAGTGCCACATGAAACATACATCCTATTTAAAAATGTTCCTTACTTAAACTCATTTGAGTACAAATTAACACACTAATAACATTTGTTTCACCACGTGGTTTCCCCCCATCTACATAGGAAACGACAGGAAATTGTTAAAATACAGCAATACGTAAACAGAACAACCCTTAGGCTGTCATTTTACTGCAGTCCTGCCTGGAAGTGGATGACAGCTTGGAGACACAATAAGCTCTGCTCCAGATTATCTCATTAGCACATAATCAAATTGGAATCAATCTGGTGATTTCATTAAGTAACGTTTGCGTCATTTTCAATTGCTGTCATCTTTTCCATTATGAGTAGGATGTTCCCCTCTGTGATGTGCTGATGCCAGACCAGACAGAGGTACACATTTGACAGATGTGGAATATGTTTGAATTTATTTACTTTCATAAACCCAGGGCCTTTTGTTTAGCTTGTCATATTTGCAAATCTCTGAATCACCTAAAGACTGTGTATATAAAGGAATCACCCAGGCAGCAGATATGTTTGAGTCAGATATATTTGACTGACTCTAGCAGCAGCTCAGTCAAGCAGGTGGCTGCATGCAGGTGCTGAGCTACGTGGCTGCGCTGCGAAGGGCGCGGCTACTTAGCATGTTTGCTGCCTTTATGTGTCGTCGGACACACAACACCTACCTCGTCGAAGTAGTAACCAGTTATGTAACTGCTAATCTACATGTAGAGTTAAGCATAGGAGCAAAAACATTAAGATCAGATGCATAACAACAGTTTTGAATATAACTATATTTCAGACACATTGGCCTAGATCAATATAAGTACAAAAACAAATAATACAATAAATACCATTAAAACATAGATGCGATCATAGAAGTTGACAAGTAGGCTATAAAAGTTAAGGTACATTAACATAATCTTCATATAACATGTTGGTGATAGGCAAACATAGTGGCAAAATGAGGAACGCTTCAAGAATTTGGGTAACTCTTTCTATCTGATACACTCTTCTCGGATGCACTTCTTTTTCCAACCAAAGTGCCTTGAATGCACCACAGAATCAGGACAGCATCTTGCCTTTCCTTGAGGACAGCACTGAAGTGGGATATTCCGGGAATCACTCGAAAGCAGCATTAGGTCTGATTGACGTGTGGCGTCCTGGGGCCATTACGTCACGAGTCCGAAATATTCCATGGAAGTAGTAAGTTAGTTCGGACAACGAGAGTAGAAGTGACTTGTATCATGTGGTTGCATTAATGTAGTGGTTATCTGTGGATGTTGTTATCGGAGCTTCAGGCCGGTTAGTTGCACTCCGAGCAGCAGCAGGTGCATGCGGATGGCGATAAAACTCAAACTCTACTCTCTACACACGGCTAAGACATAGGCGGATCATTAAAACAACATTTGACGAATTGGATAATACGAGTACTTTGCTCAAGGAATCGCTAAAGAATGTTTTTCCCGTCTTTCCCGTTTCGGGAATAGCGTGGAAAACTGCAGGAAAAAAGGCAGCGATCTCGTCCCCGTCTTTCCGCACGCAAACATGGGAAAAGTTAAAAGCGAACTTTAACTTAAACCAACCGTGACTCCGACGTTAATGTGAATTTTATCATTGTTGTTTTGACATATCTTGGAGGAAAACAACAACACGGTGGATTCATGGTGAGACTCTAGCACAGATTGTCAGGATATCACCGGAGAAGAAGAGGCAATGGAGAAGAAGAGCAAGCCAGCCCAGAGGACCCGCTCCCCGGACGGTAGCGCCAGAGACAGGGTGGACAGGTAACCAGGGCTCTCTCAGCCTAATAAAACCTTTAAAAACATGTTTGATCGATATCTGGAAGCCAGTAACTTAACTGAAAAGTCAACTCAGAAACAGCTAATTGTTTTATTTCTCATTTTGTTCAAATTGGAAGCAGTAAGGTTAGCTAACTGACGTAAACTACTTTAAACCGTTGACTTTACTTGAGTTGTTAACTAGCGGCTACTCTTTAATGGTTACAGGTTGTGGTATTTTAACAACTTTCAACACATGTTTGTAGTTTTAAACCCATAAAGTTCAGTATGCAATGTGTATGGATACTGAAACATTGTTTTACTAAATACACTTTACAGAAAGATATGTATAGTTCCCTTAAAAGTGAACTCAGTTGTAATGATATGATTTAAACAGACATATTGGAACATTGTAAACAACTTTACATTTAAAATAAAAAACTACCTTCAGGAAGAGGATGTTCACTAAACCCTCTTAGAGTGGTGTTGATTCAATGGTATGGTCATCATAGAGGTTGTAGTTTGTAGCTCTATTGAAGTTAATAGTGGTTTTCCCAATTTATATCAATGAGGGTAGTCTGTATTAGAAACTACAGCCTCCAAAATGAACATTAAGTTCAATCAACACCTTTCTAAATCGGAACCTTCAACAAGGTATACAGTTGTACCTAATAAATTGGCAGCTGAATGAACATGGGACTGGAGTGGATTTGCCCTTGATAAAGTGCAGTTGACTAAATCTGTCTGCAAGTAAACTTAGGCTGATGATCTATTTTCTGTGTAGATGATTGCAATCCACGCTCTTCATGGCAGTACATGTTGACTTACTTATTTTTTGAAAGGGAGCTGTTGCACAGTTCACACAAACGGTGATAAGCTAAACTAACACCTGAAATCAGGTGCCACATTCACACACCAGGTTGATAACGTGTACCCTTGCTTCTGCTTTGACAACAAAGTCATGAAAAACATAGCATTTGCATGATGATGCCTTCCTTTGTTTTCACCCAGTATTTGGAGAACAACACTAGTTAGAGCCTGTGCTGTGTGTGTAGTGTATACAGTAGTAAAGGGATTAAGTCTGTTAAACATTTTCAAAACAGATGTAGCAGCCTGCCACACTGCTGGTCTGTAACTGCATGTATTCTACAGGGATGACTTTGCTCTTGTAAAAGGGTTAAGCTGCAGGAAGATTATGGTGTTACCTAAGCATTAGGTTGAGCCACCTACTGTACATACACAACTTTTTCATTTAGAACCAGATGTAGGTAGATGTAGCTAATGTGAATACTAATTAATGACATAACTGTTTGTTTCAAGTGCTTTTTTACATTACTTTTTACAAAATGTTTATAATACCAAGTTCAATATTTGAACTGCATTATAAATTAAATGTTATGTTCAGCCAAAGTTGTTTATTTGTCTTCAGTCTTTCTTTAAATTCAATCAATTACATCATGGTTTACAAGGAAAAGCACATAAACAGCTGACACTGCTCTCATGTGATGATTGTGATAAACTAAATCAAAGAATCATTCATCCTTTTGAAGTGTTTCATTAAACAGTTTCTAACTCTTTTTGGCACAGCGTGGATCCGTATGGCTTTCAGCGCTCTAAGGACTTTGATTACGAGTCATATGAGGAGTTCATGTCTGAGTATCTAGTGGTGCTGACCCGACGTACCATCAAGTGGTCCAAACTACTAAAGGGGAAAAGAAGAGTGCAGAAGAATGTAAAATGTGAGTGCTAAAATTGAACACGGCAGTATCTTCACATACTGAGCACACAACATAAAACTGAACGAAACCTAACCTCTCCTTCAGTAAAGCGCTACGTACGCAAGGGGATTCCCAATGAGCACCGGGCTCTGATCTGGATGGCCGCCAGCGGGGGTCAGGACCAGCTAGAGAAGAACCCAGGATACTACCAGTCCCTGCTCGGAGCCCAGCACGACCCCAAACTGGTGGAGACCATCTGCACAGGTCAGACTGCAAACTGTTTCTCATTCAGTCCCACGGCATTCAGGAGAGATGCACCAATCGATCGGCAGCCTTTCAGAACCGTTTGGCCACGCCCTGTGACTGATCAGTCTCTTGTATTTCATTTTTGGCCTGTCAAATTGAAACACATGGCAAAGAATGTCACTTATAGTTCTTATAAAGAAAGAAAATCAGTATCAGCCAAGACAAATATTAATCAGTGCATCTGAAGCACTCAAACATCCTTAAAGAATCCTGAAACTCTGTGTTTCTTTCCCAATTTCAGTCCCAAGTTTTGCTTCGTATTGCCATTTTCATCATGT